AAAGAAAGAAAGAAAGAAAGAAAGAAAGAAAGAAAGAAAGAAAGAAAGAAAGAAAGAAAGAAAGAAAGAAAGAAAGAAAGAAAGAAAGAAAGAAATGTTAGCACACCATTCAAAAGCAGATCCTTTGTATATAACGGCTTCTCAACAGTCTTTGCATTGAAGCGCGGGCCATAGGGTACTGTGAATGTGTGATAATTAGAAATATCGTCTTGCTCGAGCCAATCTGCAACTTCCTCCTCATGATCTTGTTTGATATTGCCCTTCAGCTTGCGCCATGTCTTTAACTGCGGTCTACCTCTCTCTGCTCGTCGCATGTTTGCGTACTGATCACGATCGTTTGATCCTGGAAGCTTCTCTAAAACAAGGAGTCGAGCTAAGCCAACGGTCCTTAGGAAGCTTCTCTCAAAAATGGTAGAATCAATGCGGGTGCGATCCAAAGCTGGCCAATAAATTTCAAAACCCCGCTTTGCATACTTTGAAAGCCGGTTTTCATATGAAGGGGAACGTCGTGACAAGTCAATATGGTTGATTTGTGTCATCATGACCTGAATTGCTCGAGGTGCTGCCCAGACTGTCTCTCCGTCGAAGGCGACGCAGCTGCAGTCAACCTGCAATATTACACTAGAACGACGAATTCCATCACTTGATGATTTCTCCGGACACTTACATCGAATCCAGTGAGAATTTCGCTTATGGACTTATAAATGCGAAGAACTATTTGGATATGTCTGGTCGGATAATGTGACACAATAGTAACTGTGTGCTTAGTTCTAATGCAAGTCACTTCATGGAGGACTGCGTCTCGAACCTTGGACTCGATTTGTTTGATCCTATCTTTCGCCTGTTCTTCTGTAAGCCCATACAAGAACAAGTCGACATCGGAAGCTGGAGCAAAGTCTTCATGATAATATCGTCTCAGTTCTCGCTTTGACCTGCATTGCTCGGGTAAACTATAGCGACTTTAGTAACAACACATTCAAAATGGTTGGGGGTCGCATGGTAGCAAAGTTGTAAGCACTGCTGACCCTGCCACAACCAGATTGCTCCAATCCAGGTCACTGAGAGAGGACTCGGTAAATATGTTGAAGTTTTTTTTTGAATTGAAGATTATCCACAGTAGCCGGACTGCCATCTCTTCGTCGGTTCTCAGGGGGGAGAGCCATGATATAGCAGTCTTGCTCCTTCTTGCCTTCCTTATCCAAGTCCCGAGCTCTGGTTTGAAGGGCAGGGCCGTCAAAGATAGACGCAATATTCACTTCGTGGTTCTTAATAGCTTCTGGATGTTGAGCATAGATCTCACGGACTTTCGCGTCGTAATCGTGATAAGGCTGGAAAATTTCTTTGGAGGTTTTGTCTGCATTGTCTCTGATATAAGAAAGGCAAATGCTCATGGGTTGCAGGGAGCAATGGTAAATTGTGCTGCGAGGTCATTGCACTTGCTTCGTAGTATGAGTTGACAGTTGCTTAAGCAGCGTAAGACACTTGGTAGGAACACACAATGGATAGAATGGAGGTGATAATTAGGCGATCATATGAATTGGAGTAGAACGCGCCAGTTGCCACTTGAGCACGCGTCCTGAGCCTTTTATCTGCTTTGAAAGGAAATGCGAAAGGCACACGCTCTCACATGAACCGAAAAGATTCGCTCTGTTGCCTAAACTACTTTATTGTATCTTAGCATGCAGCAGGCAGGCGTTACGATATTAGCGTTTGATACAACTGCTTAAGGAATAGGACAGGAGGCAGTAGCAAAGTCATGATTCAGGAAGGGATCGCTAGGACTTTTTGATGCTGAAAGCTACTGTTGTATATCCTTCTTGTGGGCCGTTGCCATAACAGGTAGCGAAGGTGGCGAAAGCACAAGGGGGCCCCAAGGCAACTTCAAGCCCAGATCAATCGATCTGCTAAGTTGACCTAAAATTGGTCGCTTTTCTGTAAGGCTCCAGCGTACCTCCGTTGTCCGATGAGAAAGCAGGGGCAAGTGATGTCTTACACGAGCCCCTTTTCAATTCTCGGCCGCCAAGCTTAAGCCTCAGGCCTGGGCAGCGCCACGATCCGCGGGAGAAAAGACGAGAGTCGTGCAAAAAGTTCAGCTGCTGCGAGGGGGATACGTGGATTTTATTCTGTTCCTTTGAGAACGTTCGGTGCCCTTTCATGATTCAGAGAACCTTCTTTAGCATGTTATTGTTGCGGTGACGCCATTCGTTCCTTCACAATGTTGGCTCGCTCCCCGCGTTCACTCGTTGCCTTTTTTGTCGTCTTGTTGCTATTCTTCTACCTACGCACATCCAGCGACTCCCCGCAACCTGCGTCAATAACACACTCGACCTCAGAGCCGACGGTTGACCTGAAATCTACCCAGCTCCGACCTGAAACGAACAATGTTCCTCCCAAAACGAGGCCCCAGAGCCCTGGTGAATTGCTCCCAGGGCAGGAAGACAACAGACAAGAGAAAGAGTCCATGTCCGACCGCTTGTTCGATTATTTGAAAGGGCACAGTTCACACGCGCAGAACTCACACTCACCCGTTCCACATGAAGAGCACCTTTATTCTCAAACTCCATCAGCAGGAGCAGCACAGAGCGCGCATAGCGATCCCATTTGCGCTAGCTTGCCAGATGTGTCCGATGTCCTCGTAGTCGTGCGAACACCGGCCGCAGATTTATATAAGCACCTTCCTGCCCATTTCCTCACAGATCTTCGCTGCGTTGACTTTGAACTGTTTTCAACTGTTCATCAGAACATTGGACCGTACACAGTGCACGATGCTTTGGCAAACGTGAGCGACAGTAGACGAAGCAAACACAGGGATTTTGAACTTTACGATAAGCTACAAGCCGCTCAGAATGCTGTATCCGATCTCTCCGTGCACACCGAGGACAATGATCACAATCTTGAGCGCTGGACAATTCTACCTCACGTCCTTGCAACTTACAAAATGCACCCTAGAAAGAAGTGGTACGTTTTTATTGAGAGCGATACTTATCTGTCCGTTTCCAACCTAATGCCATGGCTCAACAAAATGAATCATACTCAGCTCATCTATGCGGGCGCCCCCGTTATGATCGGGGATTTTGAACTTGCACATGGAGGTTCGGGCATTGTTCTTTCCAATGCTGCAATGGAGAAATTGCATAATCGGTCTTTGGAGCGCTTGGATGGTTGGGAGGAAGCAACTGGAAACAGGTGTTGCGGCGACCAGATATTGGCTGAAGCATTGAAAGACTCCGGTGTCCGCTTACATAGGAGTTTTCCCATGATCCAAGGAGAGACACCATTTTCATTGGACTGGAGTGAGCGACACTGGTGCAGGCCGGCTATAACGTGGCATAGAATGACACCGCAGACGCTTGACATGCTATGGCAATTTGAAACGTCATGGGCACGTAAGCATGCAGATAATCCCGACAAACCGCCTATGCGATTCAAAGATTATTTCCAAATGTTTTTGATACCACTCATTCGGCAAGGTCAGAATAGAACAGATTGGGATAACCTCGCAAACAGCTTGATCTACACAGACCAGAGCCGGTCTCAATATGCGCACTACAGTTTTGATGCATGTCGTGCCGCATGCGATCTTAGACAGTCGTGCGTGCAGTATGTCTGGGAGCCAAATAAATGCCGTCTTGGTACTGTTGTCAAGTGGGGCGAAAGCGTTACGCCTGACAAGCGAATGACTTCAGGTTGGTTGGTACAGCGGGTTGAGAAGTTTGGAGATAGCGTCAGTAAAGGCTTCTGTCCTGATGGTGACATTTGGATTCTGCCTGGAGATGAGGAGACAGAGCCTAAACCTGAAGATGCCAAAGAACCAATTAAAGACGCCCTACAGATAGAGGAGGAGCAAATTCAGGCAAAAGCGGCCGAGGAAGAGCGAGCGAAGGCTGAGGCAAAGGCCAGAGAGGATGCAGAAGCAGAGGAGAAAGCAAAAGAGAAAGCCAAAGAGGAGGGAATGCCAACGGAAGAATCTGAAAACGGAGGTGAGAGTAAAAGCAAAGCCATGACCAAGGACCAAGACCCAAATCAGGAGACAAAGACAGAGAAACCAGATAATTCGGATGCAACGCCAACCGAAAGCGATGAGAAACCTTGGGCCCCGAACGAAGTGAAACAAGAGGAGGAGCCCGAGGAGAAGTCACACAATCCAGAAAACCAGCTAGAGAAGGCTTCTGAAAAGCCGGGCGAGCAATCAGAGGAAGTAAGGCAACCACCGTCAGAGGAAAAAGATAACAAGACAGAGAAAAAGCCCAAAGCTAAGACGTACACTCCTAAATCTTCAGATGACCACAGAGTTTATGTTGACAAAGAGAAGAGTGTTAAGGGTGAGTCAAAGCTTGTTTTTGATCATTCCGTGACGCGGAAGGGGAACAAAGTGAGCGTGGGCAAGAAGGCTGGTAATGAGAAAGAATAAATCATTGAATAAGAGATCGGGGAATACTCGACATCCGTAATCAACATGGCTTTGAATGAATATACCTATATATATATGGGTTGATTGTCTACAGCGATCATGTAGAATTTTGCTGTCGCCTCCCAGAAACGAACGCATACCCAATCACGTCAACACTCGCTGTTTCTGGCCCCATTTATATAGCTTTTCCAATAGCAGACGCCGCCCGCGTGAATTGCTCTTTGCCTTCGACGAAATGAGTACCCCCAAATCATAATGAAGATAGTTTGGCAACGACGAGCATATCCACGGTTTTAGTCGCAATTAGTGTCTTCATCTTCAAACTCTGTCTTAGGTATATCATGGAATGGAAAAGGATAGCTGGAAAGGTCTTCATGATCTTGCCAATGGGACTGACAGCTCATGCGTGACTATTTGGACCGCCTGGACGGCCTCTCGCGTAGTCCAGGCATCAACAGCATTAAAACAGAGTTGGCCGAACCCTTTCTCAGTGGAAGCATACAAGCCAAATCCATTCTACGAATCAGCCCATGCAATCACTCTGTCAAATGTGGAGACCAGGCAGACATGTCTTTTAAGTTCAGTCTTCGATGTCGAAGGCTCGATGGACGGGAACTCAGCTCGAAGTTGTTTACTCTGTTTTCTAGCATTAAATTCAGTCCTGATCGCACTCGCCAAGAGGGCACACATATTTAAACTTTAGATTCATGTTTTGGGGTCGAAAGAGATAGCGCATCTCCAATCAACTAACAACAGGTATGTAGCATCACCGCATCAGCACCATCACGTGGTCAGGATAGAAGCTGTCAACAAGGCCGCAAGGGTAAGTCATTCCCAAAGAGGTTAGCGCGTCGGTGTGGAGGGGTCCTCGCGTGCGTATTCGGACTGCAGCCGCGATGATGGGTCAAACATACTTCGAGTATCTCGTGCCTTTAAGCCCCAGCACTCGTCACACGCCTGGTCGTCCACGCACCTGCACACACTCGCCATGCTCTGTGTCGTCGCCTCCAGAGCGAACATACTGATTCTGGGTCTCTAGATTCAGCACGACGTTACCAAGATTTCGTGCATCCTTTCTGTTACTTTGTTAATCGGCATGCCACTACCGTCTCCGTCTAGGTCAGATTCAATCTTGGAGCTCGTCAACCCAAAGCCTCGCTCGCGGCGCCACTCGAATTTTAGAGTCCAACACATTTCCTATCACCAACGTCTCAATAGGCAGTTTCTATGAGAGAGGTCGTTACCTATGGCAGTCTGCTAGTTGAGTTGCTAGAATAGCCTGCCGCAACTATGGCGTTCCTGATACCTTCGTACATACAAAAACGACTGCTACGCTATGCATTGTCACACTTTCCGGTCGTTGACACTGATACCTTGGATTTGGAGCAGCTGGACATAGCCTGGGGCAAGCGGAGCTCTGTCGAGCTTAGAGACGTCGGTCTCCACGTAAAAGTATGTCACAAGGTCGGAATCCAGAAACGAGGAGGATGGACTGACTTTCGGCAGAAACTATCGCATATGATCCATCTACCGAATGAACTAGAGCCTACTGTAGCGCGCATAGTTTCCCTCCGCATTACAGTTCCAGCCGACATCTACAGTAGCGGCATCGTCGTTGACGTGCAAGGAATAGATGTTCGCGTCAAGATCGATCGACCCAAATCTGCCGCCGCTATTCCGAGGAACGCTAAACCAGGTAAAGGTTTACGTGCACAAGTGACTACTGCCAATGAGGAGCAAGACGATCACCTACCATCGGCACAAGAGCTCGCTGAATCGTTTCTTCATGATGAGCCAGCATCTGAAATAGAGCAGCTAGAGGAGGCCATACAGAGTGCTGGACTTTTGCAGACCGAAGATGAGGATGCTGCAAGCGAGACGAGTGACGAAGATAACACAGGCACGGGAGTTGGGCTGACTGTACCGGCTTTCTTGGCCAACTTTCTCAAAGGCGTCATAGATCGGCTGCAAATGTCCATTTCTAACGTCAACTTCATCCTTGAGACAGAGTCGTATTCCGAAAATGGACTGTCCTCTGAAAACTCATCCGTCTCTCTGCAATTTGGAGTGTCTTCAGTTGCAATAGATGGATTCACTCACAAAGAAACGGCTGACGGAGACGAGGAAGGTGCAGAAGATTACCGGAATCGGCGACGTGTTCGGCTGGCTGGAATATATGGTGACTTGATCACGGAAGATTTCGTTTTCAAGAAATTGGAAAGAGTTTCAACATCGAATTCCTTGCATCCGGCATCATCCCGTGGTGCTTCACCTCGGTTGCTGGAGAGTTCTGACCAGTTTTCACCGCAAACAGATTTACTTAGCGCAACACATAACTCACAACGGCCACAAACAGCATCATCGGAATCACCCCGTATGACGCAGAGCAGAATCGATGAAATGCTTTCAGCGTCGCGTATGCCAACGACTTCTGCGTCGCAAATGGAGTGCTCGTATCATAGCCAGGATAGATTCGCAGACGCAAGTGACGATGGACACAGTGAGGTGAATGACAAGATGCATTACTCTCAAAACCATCCTGAGTCATCACTTGCAGCCTCTCAGATTGCACAAGCTGAACTTGAAGGTGACATACAAGAGGAGCTACCATTCGCCATGGAGGATGCAAGATTCTCTCATTGCTACGATAGTCAAGAGCTGGACCCGTTTTCGGCGCTCACGAGTAGCCTTGATCAGCATGCATCGCCCTTAATGAGAAATTCACGGCTATCGAGAATTACGGCTGCAACAGCCCCTATAACACCTCGCAGAACAAGTGATAGCTTTCAAGTCGACCGCAAACATCCTATTTACAGATCGCAACCAGAGCTCCAGTGGCCACGCGAGCGCGCGGACAAGGTGTCATCTTCAACTTCTCGGAATCATCAATCAAATGAACCTTCCTTTCAAGAGAGGCTTCCTTCACCCCACGCCTCATCTCCAGCTAGTGACAGCTCAGGAAGTCCTTCCGAAGGAGCAGATGCCTATCTCTCTCAATCAATGCTCTACAGTCACGAAGATGCGCAGAGCATGTATATGAGCGCGCTCGGCGACGTGAAGAGCGAACACTATGACATGCCTGGCGGATGGGGACAAAATTCCTCAAGCAAGGGCTCAACCGGCTCTGAACTCCGTGACGCACATACGCGAGCAACGAACGACCCCGCAGCAGAAGCGACCGATATAGAGACACCTCGTCCGGGTAGTCCTTCCAACGCATCATCGTCCACCGATAGCGGACGTCGAAGATCTAAGCCGAGGTCTGAAAATTATGAGCCGCTGTCAAATCATGGCCACGATTCGAGTTCGGAGCCAAAGGTCAATACCGCATCGAAACGAATTTTCAGTATTGATGAGATAGACTTATTCTTGCCCTGGTCTATCCTAACAGAAGAGCCAAAAGAGGTTGCAGCAAACGAACCCTCCGTTGCGAGCAGCCGGCCTCAATCAAAACATGTTCGTCCGATGCCCGGAGCTTTCTCACAATACCAGTCTGTATTTCAAGAAACATTCAAGGCCGGGTCTAAGAACACCATGCAAACACGGTTCAATGTTACGGGTCAAATTGAGGACAGCATCTTGTCTGCACCTGCCGAGTCGGTGCTCGAGCCCTCTCCTGACCCTGAGATCTTGGTACGAGTTGGGACGACTAAGTTCAGTCTCGATACGGCATCAACTCGGCTTGTATATCGCTTTGCCGAGTCCGTGCTCGATGTTTTGTCTTCTCAATCTGAGCCTGAATACCTAAGGAAGCAGGAAAACGCCGGGTCTGTTCTTTTACCTGCTTGTCGACTCACGCTACAACATTTCACCTTATGCTTCATGGAGAATCTTCCTACGCTTTCTTGTCGATCAATACGTGGCATTACTCGTTCATCTTCAGAACTTGTAGATCCACTTTTCCAGATCGATGCCGAGAATGTCACAATGACCAACATTAGCATGAATCAAGGAATGAAAATAAATTTGGAATTCCATTCTTTCCGATTCGGCTACCCTGGCGATCCTATTCTCTCCTTTGGCCACTCACCAAGGCTGCAAGCTGCCTCGAAGTCCAAAACTTCCCGTATGGAGCCTGATGTAAAAATAATCTTCAAGTCAAAACCAGGTCGGGGTCCTGAACTTGAGATCTTGACTGCTCCTGTTCTTTTAGCACTGAATCTGCAAAAGCTCGACGACAGACTGCTCATGTTTGGTGGTGTCAGTGGAATTCTTGATTTGAGTAGTTCTATTGCTTCGAATAGTACAGTACTTGCGCCAGCCATGAATGCAACGAGGACGGGAAACATCCGCTTTGGTGATGAACCAAGGATTGAGGCCCCCCCGTCTTTGTCTCCAATCAAGGTAAACGCCCGTTTCTACGGCACCAAGTTGATTTTTGAAGGAAAATCTTGCGCTGTCAGTTTTGATACTGGGACTTTGGCTATCGCTATCAGGGAGGACACTGCCCGGGTCAAAATCGAACACATCCAACTACGAGCTCCCTATGACAGTCGAAATCCTGCATCGAGTACCTTCACGGCGGATATTCTGAAGAGCGATATTCGATTCCTTATTAGTGGAATTGAGGAAGATTTTGAAAGTCTTGTGTCACTAATTGAGCCATCAGGCGATCGCTACGGTGACGATGATGGCTTTCTGCTCGACATGCTGAAGAGACAAAGAAAAAATGGCTCTGTACTTCGTGTTGACATTGCTGACATTCAGGCAAATGTTGCACGGCTTGAACACACCGATAAATTAAAGCAGCTTGCTAATGAAGTCGAAAGACTGACAACCGGAGTCACAAAGTATTTGCCTGAGGATGATCGACCCGGCATTCTGATCCTGCCAAGGATTGCTACGTTTCAAATTCATGCTCATGTTGACAACAGTCTTGGCAAGTTCGAATTCTCATGCGAGGACATGCATGCAGCTTATGTCGGTACGCCGCTTTTGCTAGGCTTTAAGATTGGCGCTGTAACCGCGAGTAGAGAGGGTGAAGTCTTACTCGACCCACTTCTACAACTTGACGCAAAAAAGCCAACCCCTTCCATTATGGGACGCTTCATCGGTAATGTACCAGATTCAAGAGTCAAGTTGAAGTTCTTCAACCTTCTGGTTGAGTATAAGGTTCCAACAATTTTAGCCATTCTTGGCGTATCAAAGGCGGACACAGTTGAGGATTTGGCCATTAGTCTAGCTGCCTCGATTGCGACCCTCAAGCTTGATTCTTCTACTTCCGAAGTTACTTCTCCAACGCAAAAGCGAGGAAAGAAAGGAAAAACACAGGCAATATGCGCTGATGTATTCGTACGCGATTGCGCTGTTGGTCTCAACCCCACAAATTCCAATGCTAAATGTTTGTTCCTGCTCAGCCAGGCCCAGATATGCGCGGATGAGACTGCGAAAGATAGCTTTAGGATTGATGTGGATGTTAAGCGAGCTTCTCTGCTCTTGATCGATAACGTGGAAGCTCTGAATTACGACTTCACTCCAGCAACAAGATCATATGACTCTGACAACCTCAGTCCCGCTATTGATGATCTGACTCGTCAAGGTTTTCAGCCTGTGGCCTCAATTTGGTCCTCACAGACTTCAGTCACAATATTTACATATAACAATGGGGAAACAATGATCAACGTTGACACGAATAACAAGCTTTTCACGCTTGAAACGTGCGCTGACTCTCAGCAGACGTTAATTGCTGTCTTAGGAGGTCTTGCGCCACCCTTACCGAAAACGAAGGAACAAATGTACCGCACCCATGTCGTACCAATCGAAAATATGATGGCCTCGTTTACAGGTGAGCCATTTGTGCAGAGCGAAACAGACGCAGAAACCGGGCCAGCTGAGGAGGGATTAAACATGGAAGAAGCCGACCAAATTCTTGAAGACATTCCGAGCAATATGGACTTTGTGGGAAGTTTTTATGATCCGGATGATGAGGCTGGCACATACAGCCCCTCCGTGCTTGGTTCCGTCAATCGCCTGTCTTCACGTCTTCTTCCCACTTCCAAAACCGATGTGATATCCTTTACCGACAATATTGAGGAGAAATTTGAGCTCTGTCCCGAAAACATTCGCATTGATCCGTCTGAAAATTATCTTGAGATTTTCAAGTTCAAGACTCCTGTCAGGAGATGGAACTCGAAAACGGCAAAGCTGGAGCCAATTTATGAAGTCGAGACTAAGAGCTGGCCAATCAAAATTTCAGCCAAGTTCGAGCAGATAACATGGAATCTATATGACGGTTATGATTGGGCTGCTACTCGAGAGAAGATTGCACAGGCTGTTGAGAAAATAGAAGCCCAAGTGGAGCAACGACGACGAGCTCGAAGGCCAAGTACCAGAGAAGACGACGATGCTGAGTCTGAAATTGCGGATATGCTATTTCAGTCTATTTGGATTGCTGTGCCCCCTAATGCTGACGAGCGAGACTTGCGGCGCGGTATTAATCGACAAATAGCCGACGATTACACAGAAACCGGATCCATAAGAACAGAATCAGCGGATACTAGGACTACAAGCAGTCGGCCCGTTCACAAACGTCGCAAGAGCAGGACGCTGCATCTCGAGCGAAGTAGACGAAAGATCAGCTTCGATCTTCAAAAAGTGGTGGCCGACTTACTCGTGCTCCCATCCTGTTCAGAGGAGACCCAGAACTCCCTTGCCCTACGCGTAGGCGAATTTGAGATCTACGACCACGTACCTTCGTCGACTTGGAAGAAGTTTTTGACGTATCTGCATGATATTGGGGAGAGACAAATGGGCAAACCAATGATTCGTCTGGATGTGGTGACTGTAAAACCTGTCGCGGACCTGGCTGCCACGGAGATGATTATCAAAGCTAATCTCCTTGCATTACGTCTTCATGTTGACCAAGACGCGCTCGATTTCATGACGCGCTTCTTTGAGTTCAGAGATGATAAAATTCAGCCTTCCTCAAGCGCATCAGGGCCATACATTGCACGAATCGAAGTCAACACAATCCCTGTCAAGCTTGACTATAAGCCCAAGAAGGTCGACTACGCAGGTCTCAGGTCAGGATCTACTTCTGAATTTGCGAATTTCATCATTCTCGAGCGTGCTGAGTTTCAACTTAAGAGGCTGATTTTGTATGGCGTACAAAGCCCTGACTTGCTGCAACCCAAGCTGAAGAGCATTTGGACTGCCGATGTCATCAACAACCAGCTGCCTACCGTGCTTGCTGGTCTTTCTGGTATCCGCCCACTTGTTGATGTTGGAGCTGGGATCCGAGATCTCGTTGTCGTACCGATGCGCGAATACCGGAAAGACGGCCGCGTTGTTCGAAGTATTCAGAAAGGCGCCGTGGCTTTTGCAAAGACAACGACAAGCGAACTTGCCAGATTAGGCGCAAAGGTCGCTATTGGTACACAGACCGTGTTAGAAGGGGCGGAAGGCCTACTATCACCCGCTTCTGACAAGAACAACTACAATCGCTCCAGTGATGATTGGGACACAGATGAGTTTGCGCGCTCATCCGCACGGGAAGAACCTCGTGCTATATCAAATTATGCAGATCAGCCCTTGAACGTTGTCACTGGCCTCCGCGACGCATGGCAAGGTCTCGAGCGAGATTTGGCTACCGCGAAAAATGCCATCATCGCCATTGGTGGTGATGTTAGAGAGTCTGGCTCTGCGCTCGGTGCTGTGGGTGCTGTGGCAAGAATGGCACCTACGGTGATTTTACGGCCGGCCATTGGAGCTACGAGAGGTGTTGGTATGGCACTACTTGGTGCAGGGAACATGTTGGATAAGGACAGCCGTAGAAAGATCGAAGACGTTAGTTACAAGTTACTATTTGCTTGATTCAGAACAAGTGCTAATTTGTTCCATGCAGAAATACAAACGCTACTGAGATGTATATTCAAAGTCGAGGTGTTGACTGATATTCAGTACTCACGAGCTTAAATTTCGCGCATATTGCAGATGGGCATGAATAGACTGGTTCAATTGCATAGCGTTGGCGTCTTCGTATGATTATGTCAAGTGTTTGCCAAGCAAGAATGAAAGGAACGAGTAGCATCGTATGGCGTTGCTAGGAGACATGACATCAGATCGGACAGCATTTACACGTTTTGTAAGCAGAATCCGCAAACAAATATACCCTCACAGCGCACCCTTAGATCGAAGTCTTAATTTTCTTAGTCAAGCTACTCAAACTACTCGTCCTAATCTTGACTTCTCATTCAAAGTTGCCTGTCTAATCAAGTTCCAGTATTTCGTAGCCGAAATACGGGGCGATTTTTCTTTGGTCGCGTTGGCTGAGATCCATGTTAACTCAAGTTAACTAGCTAGAATAACTGGGAAAGTTTCTAAAACGACACTCTGAAAGGATGTGTTTATTAATCAAGCCAAATTCGAAGTTTTTTTTCCCTCTTCCGTGTACAGGCATACAAAGACTGAGCTCTGTGGGGCATCTTAAAACTAATAACAACTAGGATCCTGATTTATAACTTCCTTTAATAGAATCTGATACTATATTTAATTATATTTTCAGTCCTCTCAAATCTTTTCAGTGATATCAAGGAAGACTAGGACAGACCTCAGGCCAAGTTCCCTGATCGGACATTGAACAGCACAAACTTCGTCCGCATTCTCAAATCTCCTGCCACCTCCTCTTTCCCCTCTATTGTGGATAGGGCCCACACGGTTTGCAGGAGAGATAGATGGAACGCCTGATAGCAGAAATAGTAGCAAGAACATAGAGAAACAAAGATTTCCTCTTACACGAATCTCAGGTTGTTCTTGGTTGAAGGTTTTGCAGTTTCGAGTTAATTATGCTCCCGCCGACCAGCAAAACTGAGGCCAAGATCAAATGATACCAGGGAATAACGTAGAGACCAAGCTACTTCATAGTTATCATGGGCGAACATGCGGAAGAGGATCAAGAGCGCGAGTCGATAGAAGCATCATGTTGTCACAATGGCGAACGGTTAAAGATGGCGTCTTGTGGAGCTCATGCCAAAATGACATTTGCAGATTTTAACTTCAAGTGAGAAGAACAAAAGTCTCTGTCTGAAATCGAATGAACCAAATATCTACGGCGGAACGCGGCTCGTGACGATATTGTAGCCGATCCCGCAGGATCGCGACAACGAATTGGGATTCAGCACGAGACAGCCTTCGCGGCGTACTGTGTCCGCCAAGCAGAACGGGATTGAGGAATGGACCTTGGTATTGTTCAAACACATGCAGAGCGCATGTGGGAAGTCCAAGTCGTCGTCACAAGGTGGCCGACTTCAATGGCCTCCAGAAACGCACTGCGCTCTTCCATGTCGCCTTCCTCACATGCCTCACGTTGGCCCTACGAGAGCACGTAATATTTACCACAAGGAAGCGCGATCTTGTCTAGTGTTTCAAGGCATCTTATTTTTGACAGCGCACCAAGATCGAGCTCCGCAGTCCATCTCCCGGATGTTAAACAACCCACCAATGATCGCTCGAGGTGCCAAGAATAGCACCAATCAATACCCCAACCTCGGACTCAAGCTTTGAGGCCTGCCGCCGCTAAAAGTGCTTGTCGTTAGTTTTGCTGCAATTCTGTTGAACTCTTCCCGCGCCTGATGCCGGGCTGTGCTCACCTAAGCCTTGGACTTTGGCTCTGGATCGATACAGCCCGACGCTTGCGGTGGGGAATGGGTATACACAGTCCGGAAATTGAGGTGCACGTTGTCGGATGCTCTGAATACCGTTCGTAATCGAGCATCAACGACCACACGATCTCAAGCGGCATCATTGCGGACACGCTTTACGCTTGGCTGCTTGACCACGCCGCCAGCCCGAGGCGAGACTCCCGCCGGTCGAAGCGAGACAGGATCGAATTTGGCGCATTCTCAGCACCATCATGCAGAATTCCCACCTGAAGTGCTGTCCACATCATTTCCACTTTCGCGTTCGTGCTGACCACAATACGTTCGTTGTGAGCATGGCGAAGAAGTCTTTTGGGCAAGGATGCCCTCAGCTCGTATTGTCCCAGGCCGTGGCACGGTCTTCGGCTTGCCAGACTTGACATGGCGCCTGACGGGCGCAGCTTCGGCTGCGATGCTCACCGTATGCAAGAATAGATGCTAAGCTTCACCACGTCTCACGGCAAAGCTTACACACTGTTCAACTCTCCACACGTTCCTGGAGGCTAAGGCCAATCTACACTTCATCATCATGGAAAATAAAAGCCCAGCTACGCACCACTGTCTATCCTCTCTTCTCATCATCATCATCATCATATCTACATATCAACCTGTGCGAAATATTTCTTCCATCCTATCTCTGTTTGCATTTTCTTTTCATCTTCCTATTTCCTAGCATCTTCCCTTTACACCGAAACTACTAATTCAACAAGTCCGGTGTGCCCATCAAAAAAATGCTTTCGTCAATTCAGTACGCGTTTGCGAGTGCCTCACTTCTTTCGGGAGTTTTTGCCCTGCCAGCACCAGTACCGGCCTCGGGAACTCTTAGTGAGCCTTCTTTGGCCTTCGCCAGCGCAACAGGAACCGCCACAGGCTCGTACGGCAATGCTGCAACTCTTGTAGCCCAGAGCTTCCCAGACCTCAGCGCCGCCGACCTCAAACAGGTCGAGCTTCTTGCGCACGGCACTGAACCTAACAGCCCACCTCCGCCAACGCTATCACAACAAGGTGGTGTGAACTTACAGTTCATTGAGTTCAACGAAAACTTCGAGGTCGCCTTCTTCTCGTCCTTTATCAACAACATCACGAGCAACGTCCCCGGATTTGAGGTCGAAGATCCTGCTGAGAAGGACTTCATTGTCAATGCCCTGACCGCTCACCTAAACCAGGAAATCGAGCACGCTTTCAATGCTCGATCAGCCCTCAAGGCATTTGGCAGAACTGTGATCAATCCATGCAAGTATAAATTCCCAACCACCAACGGAGAGGATGCAACCAAACTCGCGAAGACCTTCACCGATGTTACCCTGGGCACTCTCCAAGACGTGATTGTCATCTTCTCCAACAACGGTGACAATGCCTTGACTGGTCTTGTTGCTTCGGTCGTTGGTCAAGAGGGCGAGCAGAATGGATTTTACCGTATTCTGGAGAACGACAACCTAGTTCCAGCTGCTCTACCCTTCCTGACTGCTTCCACTCGCGATTTCGCATTCACGGCTCTCCAGGCATTCATTGACGGCCCATGCCCAGCTAGTAAGCCATTTTCTGAAACCCAATTGTGCTCAAGCCGGATGTGCTAACAGCGTATTCCAGCCGACATCCTTAAGGCCGATGGTCTCAAGCTTTTCGGAACCCTCAACCTCCTGACTTCCAACATTGAGCCAAAGGACCAAGAACTGCAGTTCTCGTTCGACATTGCATCTCTGAAGAACAGCGCCAACCTCGACTTCCAGACCCTCATCTCCAAAGCGCCAAGCAATTACGCATCGCAGTACCAAGGCTGGAGTTCGGGTAACTACGGCAATATGGGCAGCTTCAACTGGGCTAACAGCGGCCTTTTCCTAACCTATATCAATCAACAGAACCTGCCCATCTCTGTCCCTATCGAGAATGCAAAGTTGAGCGGATCTGTTGTCACTTTCAATGCCAATTTCCCTTTTACAGAGAATCTTCTCAACTCGCTGACAATTGCTGCTGTCACAATCGGTCAGAACTTCACCAGCGCCAACGATGTTGCTGCACACGCTCTGTTTGCACCGGCTCTGATTGAAGTTAACTGAGTTGATAAAATGAGGAACTAGTGGTGTATAAATGATGAGATATGGTTTCGGGCTTAGATGTCCTTATGATATTGCAAATTATTCCCCTGGCTTGGTTCTGTTACTTATATTCACACTTAATGATTTAATATTACACATCTTTAGAAAACACAGTTTTTCTTCAATCTACGTCTACTTTGAAACGTTTAGACAAAGACTCCTTGTGATTGCTCCCCAAGCTCGAGTGTTTGGCCGCTGACACTGGATTAACGCAAAACTATTCGATAAAGGCGATCCCAATGGATGGGAGACTGTGGAAACGCAAAACCTGCAGATTGTCGCATTCAGGCCACTTATCCAGTAGTATGGGAAGTCTTCGTCTTGGCGCCGTGTTTGGCAACCTCGTTTCCTATTACCTGAGCTGACTAAAGGCCTCTTGGAAAGATTGAATACTTTTGATATACACGCAGGAAGCAAGAAGCCACAATTGGAATGTCTGGAAGTTGAAACATCGATCTGGTCAGAGTTTCAAGATATGGGAACTGTAGGTGAATCTTCTCTCAAAATAGGAGGCCTGCCAGCGCCAACTCCACTTGCAAGTAATTCTAATTTGCTGGCTTGGATACGGTGCTTTTTCATTACGTCAACCCATTCACGTTCTCTCTCATTCCATGACTCTTCTTCATTATCGTTGTCGCCATCTTCAAGAAATGCCAACATCATGCTAAAGTCTCCGCCAAGCCTGCCTAAACTTCCAGCGCAATATAAAACTTGTGTCAAAAGGCTGTCTCGTGACTGCCTATCTTGAACATTAGGTAAATACTCTCTCAAAGTCTCGAACAGCATGTCTACGAGGTGAGGCGGAAATGTAGCAAGTGGCGATGGCAAGGGTAGTAATAGATGATCTGACGTGGTAGTGTCCTTTTTGTTTTCGGGTGAGTGATTCGTTCCTTCTGAGCCTGGTGCAGGCAACGCCGATGGGAATATGCTCTTGTACATGGAGACGATTGCAAAGCTTTGTTCGCGGAATATCTCAATGTAGCGCTTCAGATAACGCTCCGTCTGCTGTCCCAGAATCGCCATATTAGGTTGCACACCTACTGTGCTCTTCTTTTTGTTTGCTTCTAACCGATCTTTAGTTTCATGGTCCGCCAATTCGCGCAATGGCTCTAGGGCATCCAACATGTGGATCATATTCTTCAATCTACAGATCAGAAGCACGGCCCCGAGTGCTCCATCTGTGTTGCCAAAATAATTCTTCATACTCATTTTCGAACTAGGCTGCTGGTCAAATTGCACATTGTCGTCAAGTTCAGGAGCCACTCTCCGGAGCCAGCCAATTGTTCGCATGGCACTGGCCAGTTTAACATTTTGAGCCTGGAGGCTAATGATAAGATTTGTTGTCAGGTGTCTCATTTCTTGCTCTGACTGCCTCACTATCGACGACACCAGAGGTGAGTGCGGGTACAACGTAGCTAGTCTTTTGATATGTGCGTGGAGATCTAATGCGCTGGCGTAATTGACGCTGCCTGATGTCGCCCCAGGTTGCGAAGCACTTGATATGGCAGTGCTCAGCAAAGTGGAGAGATCCAAAATATTTAGTATCCTGTCGCAGTTGTTCAATAGTAACAATGCCTTCCTTCTCTTAGCTAGCACATCATTGTCAGTCTCTTTAGTCCGTCTGTATTTGTCTGAAAATTTGGCGGCGCTAGCTTCGACTTCTGGGCCTGCATCTCGTAACTCTTGCGTCGATTTGAGCAATTGCGGAAGGGACGCATTGAGGTTCGACAGATGTGTAGCTGAAGATATAATTGACTTGTATGATCGCTTGCTTAGTGACTGCAAAGACCTTAATGTAGTATGCGATTGTTGTGACAGAGTAGCCGATTCGGTTGTAACAAGATCAGACAGTGACAGGTTGGTGAGGTGATTTAGGTACTTTGTCGTTGTAGGATCGGTTGCTAAAGGCCTTGCGGGAGTATCGAGCGCGTCGAAGTACGGCGTTAGTAGCTCGTATAATGGATCTCCCATGTTGATTTGCGAAATTCATGGATTGAGGGTCCGGCTTTCTCGTGAATCTTCACATAGAGACGAAGTACACATGCCAGAATTCATTTTACGATATGAGGAACCAAACTAAAGAGGACTCAAATTAGGCTGAAGCTAGTCACCTGACTACGCGAACCCGTGTCTGACCGCAGAATCAGGAAACCTTATGATTTATTCCCTTCCATTCCTTTGCATTCTCCAACTTGCTAAGAGGTTTATTTCCATCTATTTCGGCTCATCCGACTTGATACGCGTTTTACGGATGGAGTCTTCCTAGAGCCCTTACTAGCAAGTAGCCATCCCTTATCCTCTCGACTTGTTATGAGCAGATTGCTTAGTCGTAGCATATCTGGTTAAGACCACTTCCTTTCAAAGGACAGAGTCAAGATGTCTATGATAGACAAGCTCCAGATCCTGGGCGTTCGTTCGTTTGATAACAAGAAGGGAGAGATCATCAAATTCTACAGCCCCCTAACGCTCATTGTCGGTTTTAATGGATCTGGTAAAACGACAATCATCGAGTGTCTTCGATATGCTACCACTGGAGAGCTTCCACCAAACAGTACAATGGGAGGTGCTTGGATCCACGATCCTAAACTAGCTGGTGAGAACGAAGTGCTTGCCCAAGTCAAGTTATCTTTCAACAACGCAAACGGCAATCGAATGGTGATCAACCGAAACCTACAGCTTACCGTCAAGAAGTCTACAAGATCTCAAAAGGCGCTCGATGCATCCCTCTTGTTGATTCAAAATGGCGAGCGAACGACTGTATCCACGCGTGTTGCCCAGCTAGACAACATAATGCCAGGTTATCTTGGGGTATCAAAAGCTGTTCTGGAGTCTGTGATCTTCTGTCATCAAGATGAGAGCTTGTGGCCGATGAGTACGCCTGCGATCTTGAAGAAAAAATTCGACGAGATTTTTGAAGCTCAGAAGTATACCAAGGCAGTGGAGAATATCAAACTGATCAAAAGAAATCAAGAAATCGAATTGCGAGTGCTCAAGGAACGAGAGGCAAGCGCTAAGATCGACAGGGACCGAGGAAAAGCCAACGAGGACAAATCACTGAAGTTGCATAAAGAAATTGAAGAACTTACGCAGCAGCACGATGAACTGCAAGAGAAGTTAAAGGAAGCACACGCGAAAGCCGAGATGGCATTTGATAGAGCTGCGCAATTTGAGCGAATTGTGGTTGAGCTCAATGGGAAGCGCATTGAGGCTCAAGCTGCCACGCGAACAATCAATAGCCTCAAACAAAATATGCGGGAAATGTCGGACTCTGATCAGGCATTACGTAACATGCTTGACCAGTATGAAGAGCGCCTTCTTCAAAATGAGCGTGATAAGGCTGAGCTCACAAATGTATATGGCAATCTTGCTCATGAACTTGAACAGAAACGTGAGGCTCTCGGAAAGAAGCAGTCAGAACTTGGTTTGTACCAAGGCCAGAAGCAGCGCTTTGAGGAACAAATCTCCTATCGCAGAGACCTTGTCAAAGACACAGCTAGGAGGCACAACATCCGAGGCTTTGATGTTGACATCACTGAGGAGCATATTTGTGACTTCATGGAAAAACTTGGCAGAATGGCGCGGGAGCAGCAGAATGCCTTTGAGAGGGCACGTAAAGAAACATACGAGGAGACACAGCAAGCCCAGCAAGAACTTACAGCGCTAAATAGTCGGAAATCAGAACTTACACAGACGAAATCCGGTGCGCAATCTCTCATTTCAAGAAATGATGAAAAAATCCATCGTTATCAGAATGAGCTTGACATGATTGATGTAGACGAAGGGGGAAAAGCTGTACTCGAGTCAAATATCGTTGACCTCGAGAATAAGCTTTCTCGATCAAAAGAAGAGTTTGTCAAGGAAAACTTCGATGCAAAAATCCAGGTTGCCGAAACTGAGCTGCGTTCCTTCGATTCTGAGAAGCAGAAATTTGATAACGAACTCCTGGAGGCATTGCGCAACGCCAAAGAATCGGCCCGGGTCGATTTGCTACATAAAGATCTGAAAGATCGTCGTCAAGGCTTAGAGACTGTGTGCGGCGCTCATGGTGATAGAATCAGCCGCATACTTGGATCGTACTGGGAACCATCCACTTTAGAACAAGTTTATCAGAATGTGGTCTCAGAGAAAACGACTTCTGTCAAAGAGGCTGAACAGATGCGGGAGGGCATTCTTCGTGAGATTGATCACGTCAAGTATAAGCTGACGACTTGCAAAGAGAACCTAGCGCGCAAGGAGAAAGACTTTGTCTCTCACGAGCATGCTATCGTTGAAACTTTCGAGCAGGAGGGCTATAGTCCGATGGATTTCCCCGAGTATCTTGCCCAGCTTGAGGCGGAATTGCAGCAAGCCACAGCAGATCAATCTTCGTTTGAGGCCATGGAGAAATACTATCTGGAGTGCAAAGAGATATTTAACAAGACACACAAGTGTCGTCTCTGTAAACGCACATTCGACGATGAAAAGGCAGAGGGAATATTTCTGCAGCATATTGAAAAATTCCTTGCATTGGCAGCCAAAAATGCTAAAGGCGATTTCGTGAAGGATGCGAAGGCATCATTGAGCAAGGCTGCGGAAGCTCGACCCCATTATGACGCTTGGGTATGTCTTGAACAAGAGCTTCCAGCATTAAAGCTGGAAGTCAAAACTATTGAGAGTCAACTAGACGCACTTAATAGGCAACTCGAGCAACAGGACCAGGCTGTACAGGTTCAAGAGGAAGCAAAGCGAGATGTCGAGTCATACGCAAGGACGATTCAAAGCATAACAAAATATCACAGTGAAGTTGTCAACATTGAGGCTCAAATTGCGCAGCTAGCTGCATCTCAAAATGATCAAAAAAATATAGCACGTAGCCTTGAGAAGATTCAAGAAGATCAGAAAGCTGTTGCCGATCAAATACGAACCACGAGCCTCACGCTCCAGCAGCTTCGCAGTAACAAGGATCGAAACCAAACCGAAATCACATCTCTCGAATTTCAGATTCGGGACGTTCGATCCCAGCTTACGCAAACAGTACACCAGCTTAAAGAGAAGGCGAGCCTACAAATTCAAATTGAGGATTTGAAGGCACAAAATAACCAGCAACGCGAGATTATTCGTCGCGCTGACCAAGAAATACAATCGCTTCTACCACAGATTGCAAAGATTGAGATTAAACTAGAGGATATTCGAGTCCGGGGAGATGAACGGGACCGGGTACTTCAGAAAGATGCAGCGAAGCTCGCAGACAGTCTCAACCAGCTAAAAGCAGCTGAACAGGAGATTAATACATATATTGATCGCGGTGGGCCTCAGCAACTTGCTCGAACGAATCGTGAGCTCGCCAGCATTCAGGGAGAGATAAGTCGCATAGAGATGGAGCAGCGCAATGTGACGGTGCAGATCAAGAGACTGGAGAACGAACTCACAAACCACAGCGAAACCAAGCGTGCAATACATGACAATATAACCTACCGTGAGAGCGTTCGACATTTACAAACTCTCGAGCAAGAAATTACAGAACTCGAGTCTCAAAACGCCGAAGCGGACAAAGCGAAATATGAGGCCGAAGGCAATAGATGGCAGATTCAACGTAACAAATACAGCGCAGAACAAGCAACCGTTGTGGGCTCACTAAAATCCAAAGATGATCAGTTGGCGCAGCTGATTCAAGAATGGGAGACCGACTACAAAGACGCTGCCGACAATTATCGACGCACTCATATCCAGACCGTTGTCACCCAAGCCGCCATCAATGACTTGGCACGATATGGTGGTGCCCTGGACAAAGCCATTATGCAGTATCATAGCTTGAAGATGGAGGAAATCAACCGCATCATCGACGAGCTGTGGCGCAACACCTACCAAGGTACTGACGTCGACACCATCATGATCAAGTCGGAGTCCGAAACACAGAGACAGAACAAATCGTACAACTACCGCGTTGTTATGATCAAGCAAGATGCAGAAATGGACATGCGTGGACGGTGCAGCGCAGGTCAAAAGGTTCTCGCTAGCATCATAATTCGCCTTGCTCTTGCCGAGTGCTTCGGTGTTCGCTGTGGCCTCATTGCGCTCGACGAACCGACCACGAACCTCGACCGTGACAATATTCAGGCGCTCGCCAAGTCTTTGTCGGAGATCATCAAAGTCCGGCGTCAGCAGAGCAACTTTCAGTTGATTGTCATCACTCACGATGAGGAGTTCTTGAAGGCGATGAATTGCGCTGACTACGCGGATTATTACTACCGCGTTTCTCGAGACGCAAATCAGTGCTCGCAGATATTCAGACAGAGCATTCAAAACGTAAGTGCATACATAATTTGGAAAATGTAACACAATGCTAACATCCTCTATTGCAGGTCGTCGGCTCATGAATGGTATGCTACGCTCATGTAAAGATACAGCAGATTGGGAACGTGTATGCAGTTAATATTAAGTAGACAATGCGATGAGAATGTCTACTAAAAGAAAAAAAATTTTTTTTTTCATTCATGAGGTCTTCCGGGCTTCTTGTAACAAACCTGGGAAAAGACTGAAATCAAGGGAACAAAACAAAGCAGTGGGTTACAAGTTGGCAGAAAGAGCCACCAACAACACGTGTCAAATATCCGATCTTCCAATGCTACTTTGTATTCTCGAAATGAACTATCATCGCCTTAAGTGAGAAGGAGTCCTGCAAACAAACCGTCACAAATTCATGATAGAGAAAGTAAGATCGCTGAGTAGCTAGTCCTAAGAACTGTCCTGAAAATTTTTAAATAAACAGCGACTACTAAGTGTCCTGTCGCTAAAAACTGTTTTTATACAGAAGATGTATCAATGATGACTAGCTATGAAACTTCATTTTTGCATAAGAATGCAGATTTTGCTAAGGACTGCCAAAGTGGATAAAAACTAGTACACAGATAAGGAAAATGCCCCGTTACATGACGAATCGACATAATGTTCAGAAAGGGTTAGAGATGATCTTCACGAAGTCTGGCAAAAGGGAACCAGGTCAGTCACTGGAATAGGTCATTAGCCATTGTGAAGAGAATGCAGTCCGTATCAACTTACTAGACTTCCAGCGGTGCCAGAGCATCAACCGCGTAGAGGAATTGACCTTTCTGGTCCGCATCTGCGAGCCAGTCGTAGGGAAACACAACCAGGTGGCCCTGAACGAGTTTAAGAAGCTCCTCCGCGTCTCTTTTGTCTAGCAACATATCCGCATCATCGGCATGGAATGGCCTGTGGCTTGAACGCGTTGTAGTCCTGCGGCGTCTACGTTGACTGCCTCCAGCGGTGTCACGTGTAGACGTTGAGTTTGATTTTCCTACAGGAGGTGTTGTTCCACGAAGCTCCTTCTCCTTGACCGGCTCGGAGATAGTGATTGTGCGTTGGCGACCAATCTCGGCCCTATCAGCTGTGCCGTTCGCCTCGGTGAGAGAGCCGACATCACCGAAACCATTGCCATTAGCATCATGGAAGTCCCTAGAAGTAACGCCCTCCATGCCTCTGTCAGAATTGTCTGGTTGAGGACTGAAGATGGGCTCATTACGAAGCGCCTTCTTCTCTTGATCTGCTGCCCATTCTTCAACCGTACCATGGGGAAAAGATGATTTCTCATCAAAAGAATTGCTCTCCTTGCTGTTGTCTTTGCATAGGTAACCGGGTGTTGCCTTCTCTGTAACAGATTCAGATTGCAAGAGTGGATTCGTCACACCGTCACCCGGTGGACCACTCTTGCCTCTCGAACCTTGCTGAGCACGGGCAGGAGCTTTTCCTAGGCCTTGAGCTTCTGCAAATCGCGCACTGAATGCCATGTACTCCTTGTACTGCTGCCAGGTCTTTACTTCGTTGTCTGGCTGGCAGCGGAAAACCTGCCGGTATATTTTGGTGTTGTTCTCGGCAACTGTCTGCCATATATCATTAAAGAATGAATCTGCAATAGGGTCTAACATGCAATCAGGTGTAACTGTTGGGCGCCGCATATCTTGAAGCAGAGGTTGTAGGATACGATTCGATGCAGATGACAAGGTTCTCTGCATGGGAGGGCCGCCGATGTCAGTATCATCGCTGACTGGCAAAGCAGGTAATTGAGACACTTGCGGCAAACCGAGGTCGTGGGTGTCCATGCGTTCTGGAGGAGGTGGGGGCAGAGTTTCCGGTCTCTTTCCCTCTGCTTCCGCGGCCTCTCGGGCTAATTTTCTCGCCAAGAGGTCCGCTTTGTTTTTCTGCGGCGAGGATGTTGTACCTCTGCCTTCAGGGGCAATATCCGAGACGAGCACTTCATGATCGTATAGCGTTGTCGTGTTACGCGCTTCTTGATCGCCCTGGTTGACATCGTGTTCGAGCATCTTATCGGCACCCATGCCGAGCAGATCCTTACGGAACTCTTCGTTGTTGTTGATACGGGCATCTTGGGTCTTCTTTTTTGTTGGTTTTATATGCGGGTTGTTCGCTTGCGTCCAATCGACGTCGTGGTTAAAGCTCTTCAACTGTTCTTGCTTCGCAATCAATTCTTCCTGAGTCTTGTGTCTGTTACTGATGAGCTTCTGTTCGACAGCACGATCCGAGTCTATAGATGCCACGGACTGAGCATCCTCCAGTTCGCAGCTGTGACCGTGGCCTTTGCCGTTCACAAGACCCATTTCGTATTCGATCTGGGCATTCTCCAGCTCTTCGTCCCGGATTTTGTCTACATCAAGACCGAGGTGCTCACGCATGAGTCGCACACGGAGTTCATGAGCAAACCGAGCGACCATGTAGTCCTCCCCTGCCATACGCGATGGGATCATGTCCTTGTCCCGGACAATGGCAGCCACCTCCGAATCTCGTGAGCCTAACATTGATCTTTCATTGATGTTAGCGGAGCCGATTATGGCAATGCGGTCATCCACAATCATGACTTTTGCATGAATGTAAAGTTGTTCAGTAACTAGTGCTTTCGTTGGGCCAATCTGTCCGTGCGACCGCAGAGCATAGAATTCAATGTAGTCCTCAGGTTCGATCCCATGATTTCTAAGACGAGCAAAAATAGAGGTAGGCCCACGGCAGATGCTTCGGTACTGGCACTCCATGATAATACGAACACTGCTTCCGTCTTGCGCATCCACTGCATTCTGAAAGCCAGGCATCAATGGAATGAGGATGCAAGCGCGCCACCACTCCTCATTCTCGTGCGCGCGAATAATACGTTCGACAAGAGCGTCGCCGATCTTGTTCTCAATGACCGTCCCGCTCATCTCACACGAAGTGATAAAAAACTGGTTTTCAATGTAGACGAAGTGCTCGGAATTTTTGATCATATCCACATAAGCGTTCATGATGCTATGTTCGACTCGGGTAGGCGTACCGATGGACCACGAGCAAGCAGATCGCAAGATCTGCACTTCACACGTGCCTTCCAATTCCAGAGCCTCGAGATCGGCAGGTATGAAGTCTGTTGGCGGAAGCAAGAATGGTGTCGGGCGGGAGGGCGTCCTTTGCCGTAGCAAGAAATTCCAACGCTGGATGAAGTGACGGCTGAGATCGCGAGCAGGCTGACCAACCAATTGCATACCAATATCATGCCACGGCATGCGAGGAATCTTTTCTCGGTCGTACATTTCCTCATATGGTTGGTCAAGGTTAAAAAAATCCTGGACTCGCGGATTCGAGTAGTCTTTCCCAGGCCATAGCTGGCAATTATCAGCATCTCGTGGGATATTCTTATCAATCTCAAATCCGGTTGGCTTGTCGTCGACAACAGGGTGCGATGGTAAGTCCCATCTTCCGAAACACAAATCTACACCTCCGCAGAACGCAACGCAGTGGTCGACAATACATATTTTTTCGTGATGGGCCCAGAAAAACGTACCCTGCCGGATCTGGTTCGGTGATCTTTGGACGAAGACGTTGTTCTTGCCTTCAGGATTCAGCGCGAGCAAGGAGAACTTTGAAAATTCCGAGTCGATGGGTATGGCTGTGTTTATGTTCCGGTACATGATGACATAAATCTTGACGCCCTCGGCAGCTTTACGTGCAAGAAGCCTGTCAAGCCTCCATCGTTGGCTAATTGCCGCCGGGCGACGCATGTATAATTGTGGGCTGAGCCACCAGTCGTGAATATATATCACATCTCTCGCCATATCGATTGCTCGAGAGACATTCCACATATAGTCACGGCCGTCTACCAGGAACTGTGCCCATACTTTGTGTCTGACAGGCGCAAAGCTGTCATACCTGTGGTGCTTCGCCCATTCTGATTGTGATGCAATAAATTTGATGGATTCTTCAAATTGGGCAGCAATGTGCTCGCTCCTGGCTGTGAGTTTCCAGAGTCTTTCCGTGTTGTTGATCCTCAGTTGATGATGCGTTGGATGTCGCGCCGCATCCCCAGCTCGTTTGGCAAGTTCCTTAGCGCTGTCATCGCGCTTTTTGCCAGTTCTCTTTCTTTCAACAGAAAACTCGGGATCAACTAGTATGACATCATAGACATTCATCTCCTCCAGAGAGTCGACACAAACGAGGTAGCTTTGGCGGACAAGAAACCACTTATCACTGCCAGACGGGAACTTCAAAGCCTTTTTATAGAAAGGCTTAAAATCCACACCACGTGTCGACCTAATGCTGAGCACTCCTTCCTTGCCATGATAACCTTCGGAAGCAAGACGAACCCCCAAAGCAGAGAGCTCGAGAAAGGCACATAGGCGGTTGCTATTGCGCCCGAACATGACGTATGTTACGAGTTTGTGGAGATACTCTTCCAGCTTTCTTCGTTGTCTTTCAGGTACTGTTTCTGCACGCTTTCCTGAGAGACCTGTGTTAACACCAGAGTCCTGTTGTCCAAATCGTGCAGACTTTTTCCTCGACAGTTGGAACGATGAGCGTCTTCTCCTCCCTCCTTTACCTGGACGATCGGTCTCGCTAATTGCTCCCTCAACACCGCTCTGCTCGCCCGCAGTGTGTTCCTCCTGTTCTTCATCGGACTCATCGAACTTAAGACCGCGTGTGCTAAAGAAATCTCCAACAAAACCAGGAAATGCGCTTCTCGGAAACTTGGGCAGTTTCGAGCGCTCGGATTTTCTCGTAGGATGCCTGTATTTTTCGACGTTCTCCTCTGTCTTATATTTGACATGCAGTTTGGCGAAATCTTGTAAATCACGTTTGATGACCCACTTCATTCGAGCAAGCGAGCTCCCATACTCGAGCTCGATGCGGAATATTGCGTGTTTACCTTCGTCGTCTCGCTCACTGTCTGTGACTTTGAGGCGCAGTTGCTCTAAAAGGACCGGCACACGTTTATGTCCACGCTCATCCCTTTGAAACATGCTGGCGAAAATGAGGGCAGCTGGTGCACCAGCTAGCAACTCTGCCATTAGTTCTGCCGACTTCGCCGTATCAACACGAGTTGTATCATCCTTCCTCCGAGTACCCAGCATCTTTAAACCAGCTTTCAATTGACGCCATCTTTGTTGACCCATACTCGTAGCTCGTTCTTGTCTAACTCGCCACGGTGACGGCGAACCATCCGCATCACGTCCCGCGAAAGAAGTCAGCATGCGAAGTGCTGTAGGTCGTCTGGAGGCCTCAGCTATGTCGTCGCTGCGCGGAATGGGTCGAGGTCCACTATAGGTCAAACCTCTATGACCAGACACCCAGTTGCTACCTCTTCGAAGAAAACCGTCGCCGTTTAACCTACTCCGCCCTTCATCCTCCGAAACAGCCGCTCTTTGATGTTCAGGTATATCCGACATGGTAGCGCGTCGTGGTAGGAAGGCGGGGCGGCTGTGGGGTGCAGATGCAGGTGGAGTACGGTCTCGATCAACAGAATCGCGTCTGAATGCAGGTACACGTGTAACTCGTGGTGTTGTTGGGGCCGTGGATGGTCCCTCGTCCGTCTCCTTGCGGAATTTTCTCTTCCGCTTTGTTCTAGAAGGTCCATTGCCCTCTGCCGCGCTCTCTTCCGCATCTGCATCTGCTTCGTAGCCCCCAAATCTAGGCTCCGTGGTACCATCGTTTCCTGGAGAGGAGGGTGCCATCTTATCATCAGATCCAAACCCGCCTAAGGACCATCCGCTCAAGCTTCTGGTATGTCCCTGTGTCATTGGTGTCGTCAACGCCTTCAGCTTGGACATGAGTTGCGAACCCAACTTCTCTTTGTCTGCTCCTCTCGTCGCCTGGTCTTCACCGAATCCCAAAGACTGCTGCCTCGAATGACCAAGGTACTCACTGGCAGGTTTGTCAGATCCGTGAGCCCCAGAACGGGCAAATTGCACGCTCCTGCGAGGAGTAGCGGTGCCAAGCTCCCTTGTAGGTTTGCGTGACAATCCGCCGTTGGTTGCGGTAGCCAAATCGGTAGCAATATCGCTCTCCTCCTCTTGCTGCGCATCTTGAGCATCGGGCGATTTATGCATCAAGTCGTTGGTCGGGCTGACACCTGAAACCCCTGGCGGCGAAGAGAAAGGGAACTCGGAGCCAGACTCAATGGCTGCGGAAGCCGACGTTCCCACCACCATAGGTGATGGTAGGAGTATACCATTGGGAACTGCATCGATGGGTAATGAGGCATTGGGCTTGTGCTCCGTCCGCAACGGCGAAGCCACTCGAGGTTGTGAATCACGAGTCTCGATGGCTGGTCGGAGTGCTGGTGATCCTGTCTTGGGACTTATCGTGGCGGGCGAGACGCTGATGTCGCGCTCGTCGGGGGGATTGATGTTTACTGCATGCTGTGGGAGAGCGGCCATGCTCGGTCGGCAGGCTGCAAAAGAGCGGCTTGCTATGTCAACCGCCAAAGTGCAGCAGCAAGTCCCTTTTGACCGCCTACAGTTTCTCAAGGCCTGTTTGTGTCTCGCCAAGTCAAGCGGGCGAAGTGGTTGACATGGCCGGGTGCAAAGGTCAGAATATCAAACAGCATTCAACGGGAGCACGGGCAAGGGTTGACAAGGAGAACGGGGGGGAGTTCGAGTCCGCAAAGGGATTAATTGTGGGGCGAAGATATCAGGGCGCAAGTCCAGAGAGTTGAAAGGGCGTAGTCAGGACCGGTCAATGGGCACGCGAATGTTGAAGCGCCAGATGGCGGGTTAGCGGTGCGGAAGGAGAGTACGTCTTGGTGCGTCCGGTATGTCAGTTGCAGCACGGGGACGTACATGCAGCGCAGACCCGGGGGGTGGGGGTTTAACACGGACGGAGCAGACAAAGCCAGAGCCAAACTAGCGCTCCTTCATCACGCTCCCAAGGCGGGCGTCGGTTGGGTTGAGCTAGGGCAACAGGGGTGCAACCGAGAATCGTATGCGTTCGCGGTACCGTGATCTACCTCTGCACGTCTGTACTTGTACATGTTGTGGAATACCGTCCCGCGTGTGCTGGGACAGGGCTTCCAGGACGCTCTGTTCAGGCGCGGAGCATGCTGGCCATCACTGGCGATCAACGTAAAGACCCACCAGGGCAACTACGGAAGACTTGGACACGCCCACGGCAGGAAACGTGTTGGACACAAGTTTGTGCTTGATTCAAACCCAACGTCTGCGTGGGAACCGCCCTGCCATGCTTGCGCGCGCCAGATCTTGATCTTGCTCTGTACCTCCGCAATGGCCGTGGCTAAGTGAAGGGAAGGAACGGGCGCAGGTCCTCGCGCTTTCCCGTCACGTCCTTTGCGACACGCCCTTTCCGCATTCTATCAAGAAGGCTGCTCTTGCTGCTGTTCCTGTCCTCGCTGTCGCACCTTCTCCACCCAAGCCTGGCAGGTGCGCTCGTCCTGGAACACCATCACCTTATCTTCACCGTACTCCTTGATCATACGCGGGTACTCGCGCGCGTGGTTTCGCCTCTGATACAGACATGCCAGCAACACGTTGTGTTCATGACTCGGCCATAAGATCCCCCATCCGTTCTCGTAGTTCTCTCCACATACCTGCTGCCTCGTCCATATCCGCCACGCTGATCTCAGCAGCAGCCGCCACAGCACAGGAACGACTGGGTAGTCCAGCCAGACAATGAGCTCTGCCCGCCTCCAGGTAATATCAGCGAAGGCACGGAAATTCCCATCGGCGATCCATTCGCCAGCTGGATCGAGCTCACGATCGAGAATAGTCTGCATCACGCCCTTGGGCGTTTGTTGCCAGTTCGGCCGCCAGAAGATGGCGTCAATCTCCACATGCTTGATGCCCAGTATACTCGACAGTTCTCGTGACAGTGTGCTTTTGCCTGATCCACTCTTCCCAAGAACCAATATGCGCCTGGCCGTTAGTCTATGCCCATCTTCCATTGCGAACCTGATGAAAGCGATGATAGCGCGAGAGAATAACGGTTTGCAGACGCAAACTAGAAAAAATAAGTCGAGACCAAAGCAGGATGGCTGCTCCTGCTCGGACTCCTATTATCCACCAAAGGAGTCAGAGCTTTTCCACATTGAGATCTGGAGAAAGAATGCCTTAAAAGGAGAAAAATTCTTATCCTCTCAAATTGGACACCGCTCAGAAGTTGCAGATGTCTGCATGAAGTATAACTGTTCTCGCAACGATAGCGGCTTGATCAAAACAGGTAGGCAGTCGAATGTGTCATAAAAATCCATGCCCTATATGTTCAACAGAATCATCCTTTTCCTAGACAGAAAACATATTCACAAATGCTGAAGACCTGGATGTCACGTCCCGACAGATCTGTTGGGAGGGGTGTACCTATCTGCCCCACCATGCCTCGGCATATGGCTTTCCGCACCTTGAAGCTGTTTAACAAAATGCTGAGCAGCAACTTTCACTTCATTATCGATGGCGAAGAGCTAGACTCAATAAAGTACACGGGATTAGTACAATCTAGCTCATACTCGGCATACCCTCCTCCGCCATGGCAACCAACAATCCTCTTGAAAACATCTACTCAGCGTCGTCACCAACAATATCTTCCACGGTGCACGCAATCGCGGGAATTCTAACCACTGTCTATGGTCTGCGTGAATTACCGTCTGATATCAAAGAGCTTGCTGTTCTATGGTTACTACACCCTCGTCTACAGGATCAAACTTCAATGGCTCCAATCGCTGCAGATGCGATCAACCATTGGAACGCTCGCAATGACCGTGGCAAGAAAGGTCTGATTGCAGTATCTTTCGACCAACGCAATCACGGTTCTCGCCTTGTGAACAAACTTGCCAACGAAGCATGGCGCCAGGAAAACCCACGCCACGCGCAAGACATGTATTCCATCTACCAAGGAACAGCCATGGACACATCCCTCCTACTTACACATCTTCCATCATACCTACCACTGCACCTCCCACAACCTGCTGAGCACCTCGTTCTTGGAGTCTCGCTGGGTGGTCACGCAGCTTGGCATTGCCTGCTCCAGGAACCGCGCATAACCGCTGGTGTTGTGGTCATCGGTTGCCCAGACTTCTCGAGGCTCATGCTGCAGCGAGCAGAGAAGTCACGTCTCAAGACGTTCGGGCCCAACTTCTTGGGCTCGCCTGATTTTCCGCCTGCGCTTGTGCAAGCTGTATGCGAATCCGATCCAGCAGGCCTACTCCTCCCGCCGGAGATGAGGGCTCCCGCGCAGGTGCACGATATTGTGCCCTTCACGTTTGCGAGAGAGCGTCTGTCTACCCTCCTAAGCGCAACCCTGGGCAACAAATCAATTCTCAATCTTTCCGGCGGGGCAGACAAGTTGGTTCCCTATGCTCAGAGCGAGACATTCTTGAGGTTCCTCAAGGCTGCTATTGACCCTGAGAAAGGCTGGTGGAAGAACAACGGTGTCGTACTCGAGGACAAAATCTTTGATGGCATCGGCCACGAGTACACGCATGAGATGAGAGACGTATCAGTCAAATTCATTGCCGATGTGTTGGCTGGAAAGGTCAAAAATGCAGCAGGAAGTAACACGTCATCTAAGGTGAGCAAGATCTAACTCTCAGTGAGGATGACTAGAAACATAAAAACAAACGTACAGAGAGGATAGGAAAGAAAACATAAGATTATATGTAAAAACCACTCCACATCAGCTTCTACTGTACATAGCATCCCATGCATGGAACAAGCACACAGTGTATGCCACACAGCAACGAGCAAACAAAACGGCATTTTGTCGAGTCAAAAGCGACAATCCATTTCACCCCTTCCTCCTCGAAAATCAGAAAATATTAGAACTATATGAACAGATTCTCCTTTCCACCACTTTCCACTTTCTCTGCAATTGATGGGCACAAAAAGGATCAAACTCGAAGTGCATGGGGGAATAATGTGAGAGCAAAACTACCGTTGCAAACATCAAGACACTCGCGCATATACAACCATACATATCCAGCTTTGTTCCTTCAAACCTGTCCCCCCCGTTATCCATTGGCCACATAGGTGAGAGCGCGCTCACACACTCGCAAACGCCTACTCATATCCTCTGATCTCCGCGACATTCATTTCGCAATTCTGATAACGAAGAAGATCAGAGCTCTGCGACGAGATAACGTAACTTAATCAAAGGCCTTCTTGAGTTTGTCAATAAAGACGCTGAGCCTCTTCTTCTTTTTCTTTGGTTTCTCTGCTGTCTTCGAAGCTGCGGCATCATTATCAGCTGTGGTAGTCGTAGCGGCTGGAGCAGCTGTAGGAGTTTCTGCGGTTGCATTGCTCTCTGCAGTACCATTGACAGAAGCCAACGCAGCTGCAGTTGTCTCAGGCTTAACCTCTTCCTTCGTCGCCTCAGTGGTTGGTTCAGGAGCTTTGTCTGTCGTAGCCGCAGTGACAGTGGGTGCTGGCTCACCGGCCTCCTCACTGGGCTTGACCTTAGACTCGAGCTCAGCCTCAACGGCTTCCTTCTCCTTAACAGCCTCTGGATTAGCGGCTGCTTCTGGACTAGCATGAGCCTCACTGATTGACTCCTTGACGATCTCCGGAACGCCGGCTTCTGCGGGTGCAGCAGGAGCTCCTGCGGAGGTAACGGGAGCTTCTGTGGGTGCAACAGGAGCTTCTGTGGAGGCAACAGGAGCTTCTGTAGAGGCAGCAGTAGCTTCTGCTGGCGCAACTGGGGGTTCTGCGGAGGCAACGGGAGCTTCTGTGGAGGCAACGGGAGCTTCTGCGGGTGCAACGGGAGCTTCTGTGGAGGCAACGGGAGCTTCTGTAGAGGCAGCAGTAACCTCTGCTGGCGCAACTGGGGGTTCTGCGGAGGCAGCGGAGGTCTCTGGTTCCGCAGCAGGAGCTTCTGTACTCATACCCTTAGCAGCTGCGGAAGCGTCTGACACAATGTTCTGGACGCGTTCCGAGGCCATTGCGGCAACGGCAGTTGCCCCAGCAATAACGCCAGTGACTGCGCCTGCAATCTCACCTGTTGGGAGCCCGCTCTCCGCTGCCGGTGGCTCCTCCGGCACCTTTGATTTCAATTCTGATTCTAATTCCTTCTTTTCTTCGACAGCTTCTGGGTTGGCTGCGGCCTCTGGAGAAACACTTGCCTCCTTCTGGCTTTCACTGACGATCTCTGGTACCCCCCGAGGCTCCTTTGGTACCTCACCGGCAAGAGCGAGGGTTGTGGCACCTGCACCAACAGTGCTTGTCAGTATACCTGCTCCAGGACCTGCATCTGGAACTTCGGTAGAACTAGCACCCATTGGCAGACTCGATTCCGGAATCATACCAGTGGTAACAGGAGGGACACCGAAGGCACCAGTCTCTAGCGGATTTACCTCGACCTCCTTCTTTTCTGATGCATCAGCAACGGGAACCACTGGTGGTGCGGCATCGGATGCATTGTATGAAGCTTCGTCTGTCTTCACAGTGCTCTCCACAGTATTGCCGGTGATTGTGGATGGATCGGGAACGGGTTCGCCGGGAGCAAGTTTAACCGGATTGCCAGCCCCAGCGGTCGCGGGGATTGGGTTGACAGAGAAAGTTGGCTCCTCTTTGGTGCTTTCAGCAGGCTTGTCAGCAGCTACAAGCTCCGCATCATCATGAACGCCGCTCGAAATAGTATTGGTAGTTAAAGTGCTCGGATCCGGGACGGCTTCGCCTGGCTTAAGAGTAACAGGGTTGCCAGCGCCTTCGGTGGCGGGAATGGGATTTACAGAGACGTCAGCTGGCGCCGTCAGAGGTGTCTCGAGAGCTGGGGTCTCTGGGAACGCACCAGGGGCGTCGATTGTCTTTTCCGACTCCTTTGGAACGGCACCAGCCAAAGCGGCAGTTGTTGCACCTTCACCAACTGTGGATATGGCAACTTCTGTGGGTTGGACTATCTCCGATTCTTGCAACACGTTATTCTCATTGTTGTGTTCGTCGCGCTCAGTTGGCAGATGTGGATTCGTTCTCCAGTCGCCGTCGACAACAAACTATGGCGCGGTCAGTCGCATTTCTGACTCAACAGAAACATGGCAGCCTTTGCAGCATGATTTCCAAAGTATGTGCACATTTCCATCAAGAGTAGAAAGGCGCCGTCCTTATGGAACAGATGCTGCAAAGCTAGAATAGAGTCCACATACCTTGTACAGGTACTTTGTCTTCTGCGGCAATGTTATCGACTTCTCAAAGAACCCATTGGGAAGCTTTTCAAGCTTCTCTGTCTTGCCCCAGTCATCGAAGGTGCCGGTGACGTAGACTTCTTTGGCCTCGGGGTGTTCCCTACGCAGGCGCAAAAGCACGCGTTAGCTTTGGCTGCCGCCTGCTTCGCCAATCGGAATAGCAACAGACGTACCACTTAAATGTGTAGCTCCCCATAGTAGGCGAGAGATATCAATAGACGGAGACGGATTACGGGGTTGAAAAAGAGAAGCAAGGCACGAGTGTATGCGTGAGAGGATTAATGGGGAACAGTATCAGCAATGGTGGAAGGTTGAGGTTGCAGATCTTGCACGACGTTCGAGCTAGGTAAGCTGGGCTGGGGTGCCGGCTCGAAGCGAGTTTCTTGTCCAACAACAATGCCGCGTACGAACGTTGTCGTCTTTCGTTTTGTCTGTGACCGTGAAAATGACAGCCCACAGAAACGGTTTGTGCCAGCACGGAGCGGCACCAACGTCGACGAGCTCAGCTTCCTCGCTTGTGGGCAATTGGCGTTGAGACGACGGCGATGCGGTGAGGGGCGGGCGCTGTTTGTCCGCTGATGAGTAGGAGGAGGCTGGGATATGCTGGCGAAGCAAAGATCGCCCACCGCCACCACCACATCGTTGGAAAAGCCCACGCCTTCAGAACCATAACTTGACCAACCCGTCGCAGCGCCCATTTCATTCTTGCCGCCCGTCTTTCCATGCGGCACCCCCAACCGAGACCGCCTGCTCTCCTCCATGATCGCCGCCCTGCGAGCCTTCTGCTGCCTTTGACTTCGCTGCTCCCTCGACTCTTAGCAACACTCAGAATCTTCGCCTCGACTTCTGTGTCGAGGCCCACGACAGGGCACGCCTCCTAGCACGCCATCGATCATGACTCTGCGCGATCCCACTTGACGGCCAAGCCATTTTTTAGCAGCCGCCTCTTTCGCGAAATGAGGGTAGAGCGCTCGGCAGATTAGAAATAACAACGTCTGTATCAATCCGCATCGCTTCACCTGCATCCTCCTTCGTGCCCACCTCGATGCCCTTCGTGCTCCCACTTGCGCTCCACTGTTCGTGTGATCGCAAAGGTCTTCTAAGCAGCATCAGACGAGTCAATCGTGAGGAAAGAATGGCTGATCCCCACCTTGACCTATAAACTTTTAACTCCAGTTCATCAGATCTATGTGTTGAAACAAATTTCCCGAGATCTTTAAGCTCATCCCAGTAGAAGCAAGCCTTTGCCCATTTCAGTCCTTCAATCTGAAATTGCAACACCTTTGTGGCCGTCCGCTAGTTTTCTTAAGACCCCGCCCAGCCCAAGAAAAGAATTCCAGACGAATTCTTTTCTGGACATGAGGATATCCATTCATACAGGGCACACTAGTAAATAAACAGCGTCTGATTCAGATCCGCACCAGTCCAAAGTCACATTGATACACAAATCAGCATGGGGATAAGGAAGCTGCTGTGCCTTGATAAAGAACGCTCGGTATGCAATCCCTAAAGAAGAGAATATAAAGCCGTTCAAGCCCTACTTGACAGCTTCGAGTTCTAGCTCTTCAAACATTTGTTTTACACACGAGGCTTTCTCATAGTCGCTGTGCGGAAGCACAAGGAGCGGGATATTGTCAAGGCCAACCAACGGTCCAATTTCCTTCCTAGTCAACCCATGTCCACGAATATGATCTTAGTCTCCGAAGCAGGTTCTTCTAGTAGTGATAGGCTTGTCAGCAACGTAAAGTATGGATGTTGCAGTCCACATGTTCGATGAACATTCGAGGCAACTTTGTGAAGTCATTCGAAGCCCAATGGTTTCCATGCCCTTTCAGACTACAGTGAACTAACCCATCCTTTTCGCGCTGATCCGCTGCAACGTGACGGATGAACGCCTTTATGCTCGATGTATACGCGATTTAACATTAGAACATCGCAATGTGAAAAGCTTAAAAGCTGCGGCTTGCCTACCCTGCTATCCAGTCACAACAGCCATCGTCATTCACTACTCATATGACTTTGCTAGCTACATCACGCTCAGCAATCGGCAGCCTAGCCCTTACTACATGCTCATATCACCTCAATAAGGAAGAAAAAAGAACAGCAAATTCAAACAAACCACGCCGCGTCTTCATGGAAATCATGTCATCCGTCCCTTTTCATGGGCAAGAATCGGATGCTGATCGCGAAAGATTTGGCCGTCAAACTTTTTTGCCTCATCAAGAGAAGAACTACAAAGCGCTTGCTAAACAGCCCCGAACGCTCACAAACGCTCACCTGACTGAAGTTGCCAGGCGGCGTGGCCTGCCACCGCCGCTTTTCGACTGGACCTCTCGCTTCGTCGAACTCCCGAGCGAAGTGATCGAGACAAAATTATCGTTTTCTGCATTCCATCAGACGACAAGAAATCGCATCAGACCCAACTATACGAAGCTAGAGAAGCTACAGGCACTTCCGGAACCGCATATGTTCAATGCCGTCGCGGGCGTCTCGCCAAAACTGAACACTATCGTCGAAAATTACTGCGCGTTCCTGCTCAAAAAGTACTCTGCCCTGCAAGAGCAGACCGCAAGCGCACCTAACAGTGAACTTTCTACGCACAGGGCATTCTGGCTCGCATTTATAAGAGATAGGTGTGCTTTCTGCTTCCGAACTCTTAGCCAAATCTAATCTGAGCCCGACATCGATCCGCTCGTGTTTGGTGGTCACGAAATTGCAGCGGTAGAGGGTACGAGCATTAAACGAAGACCACTCGAGGGCTCTGCATTCAACCATGCTATCGTATGCTGCCATCGCTGTGACCGCAAACACTGGCCCACGCCCCTCCGTCTGAGCTACATATCACGCTCGCTAGGGATTCCAGAGTTCTTTGTCACGTTCCCGCCTCAAGAGCTTCACCTGCAGACTGGTATCGTCGGAACGGATGCGCTTTTCCTAGGTTACCAGATTCTTAAACTGAGAGAACTCGTCAGAAGTAATAAACCAAAGTATGTGCCGAGCTGGATGACTGAAGTTCCGGCCTGCTTTGAGGACGATGTGGCGACCGAGTTGAGAACTAATTGGATGGCTCTAGAAATAGGGGTAAGAAAGTGTCAGAAATGGCAGGTCGACGGAAATTGAAGCTCAAGGGTAACCCCTCGGGGCGTAGATGGGCAAGAAAACTAAGTGGGCTGAAAGATGTCACAATTGATGAATCCGAGAGTAGGATTGTCTCTAGTTTTATAGCGATTCTCACACCTTTATTCTCCGCGTGAACTTGACGTTACATCGGGAATATTCAAAAATGATCATTGTATGAAAGACGAAACGATGAATGGTAAGCATAGCAAAGGCGAAAAGGAACGTTTCTGAATATTATAGAGGGAAAAATCTGTATTCCAAAAATACTAAAAAAGCAGACTCCATGTATTCCATTTCCTCCTTTCTCTTACCACTCAAACTCCTGTCTCTACTGGGTATGATATTTATAAGGGGGGATGAGTTATATGGTAACCCTCTTCATCGCCAGCTTCGCTTTCAACATCTGTCCATGACCCTGGAGTGCTTGCCCCCACCACAGAGAATGCATCACTAGTTGTCTCGCTGCGAAAGTCTGTCTCATTTTCGTCAATCATGGATTGAAAGTCACTCATTCTGCCAACGTCTTCTGCTTGTGAACCAACGAGCGAAGCAGCGGTCGACTGACCATCTTCGGTTGGGGTCAATGTTCCGGTAGGTGTACAAGACTCATCATCGTTAGCAGACGCATTGTGCAAATTAGCATCTAGCATGGCTTCCATAGCAGATGAAGACATGAATTGTGCACTAGCTGGTGGTTGATGGACATTTGGCGGAGGGGCATAATAATATGAATTTTCCGTAGATACCGGAACAGATACTGGTGGATCCGAATGTATGACGTCCGTCTCTTGAATGGCAGGGCATTCGCTAGGGGTAATTTCTTCGAGGCTTCTTCTTATAGCCTCCTTTATCTGCGCTTCCATCTCCTCCTCGCTGAAGTATTGAGACTCTGTAGCTGCAGACGAAATGGGCACAAGAGAAGGACTTTGTTTACTTTCTTGTGACGGTTGCGAGATCTTATCCTGGGCGGTATTGTGGATCGATTCTCGATCAAGCAGGACTTGAAATACATTATTGGAACAATTCGAAGTTGAAGCATCCAAGTCGGCGCCACGAATACCAGCAGTGCGCTGACGTAGACCCGAAGGCGATATGTCTACCCCAGTCACTTTCGATATTTCAGGTTGTCGCAGCTTGCCGTCTGCGCCAACCAAGGCATCAAATCCCGTGGAAGAATTGGTTATTGCAGGCGAGGGATCCAGTACCCGCGACTCTTCCGCCTCACCTAGTTTCACAAGCTCATCAAGATCGACAGCAATGCCTTCATCTCTTGCCTGCTTGATCATTTCAAGTCTGTTTCGGCGAACAATCTCCTCCCGCCGCCTCCGCCTCAGTTCTATTGCGGCCTCGCTGTCATCTTCGAAGTCACGTTGAGAGTATGAAGGTGGGTGTATCTCGTCGCCCAGACTGTGGAGCGCCATGGCGAGTTTGCGTCTATAATTTAAGATCCATTCTCGAATGTATTCGTTTTGGGAGATAGCTATGCCCGCAGCTACAAGTACTGAGGCGGTAATGAGAAGTCCTACAACCAACGCGGGGTCAGTAAATTGCATGTTACGTACAAGGAGAGGCAAGATAGGTGAAGCAACCAAGAAATACACTGCTATAGATTGTCCACATTGATGGGACTAGGTGCATGACCAAGTTACGTACCTTTTGCAATCGGCGCAGCCATGGCAATACGTGCTGCTGCAGCCTCAAGTTACTCAAACAAGGTACGTAAACGGATTTTTATCAGGGGAGATTTTTGGTGCCTAAGATGAGGGAAGGGGATGGAATGAAGTGCAGATACGCCTACAGTGTCAGGATGGCCACATGGCTAATAACTCAAGGAATATGGAAGCCTGTTCAGAACCTAAAGGTCGAATGCTTCGTAGCGGAACTAAGGTGGACTCGTAATCAGCCTTCTTGTGGCTCGCCACCAAGCCACAGGGCGGGGCTGATTCTTGTGGACGAGACTCGATCTGCAACGGCGGGGAAGTGGGCCCGTGATATCTCACTCTACCTTGAGGCCGTCAAGTTATGTGAGGGCAACTTGTGTCGCCGATCAGTCGATTAGACATCTTCTTCGAGAGATGTTGCCAATGACCCGTGAGAATCAGACGATGCATCTTCTTCAAGCGATTCATCACGTGATACTTTGCTTTTTTATCACGACCTCGACGAAGTAGGAAATGAGAAAGTGAAGTCACAACTGTGTGAATTACAAAATTCGTGCTTAGCACGGTATGGAGTAGTTGTTGCAATTGACACAGCATCGTGTTCTTCCAGTGGTGATTTAATGTAGATCAGATTGGCGTTCAGAAGGCAGTCCTCTCATACTCTCCTACTTTACTCCCATTTGCCCATTTCCGCCCCCAAATTCATTACCGAATCAATCTACAGAAACCCAGGCCGAAGGCTTCTCAAGCGCATCGAATAATTTGTCCGGGATACTTCGAACTACGCCAGAAACTTTGCAAATGCTCTGGGGTTTCGATAATACTTGCTCGTATTCACCGGTCAGCATGTCTGAGAGACGATACGTTCAAGCTTGCTGTGTGCATAATCTAGGCTCCCGCAGCCTTCGCAAATACCCTATCACAAGATGAACAGAAGCTATCCATGTTTATGCTTGCCGGTGAAGGAAGAACTATATTTATTTAGACTGCCTCTGCACTTTTCTCTCTCTTTGTTAAGCATTCCTCAACAATCTTGTGCCAAAATTAATTCCTCTGGTTCCGGAAACGTATCGCTTTCTTGACGCTATGGCTCCAACGATAGAAACAATTTCCAAGCGACTTGCGGCATCGACAGACGTAGGATATGAGTTATCCAGCAAGTTCTTTAGAGTCGTGCAGGCGCTTCCATCAGCAGTATATGAATATGGTTGCTTTGCTAGCCAATTAACGTACTTGGCCGTCAATTTGGAGCAAATTGCAACTATTATTTCAAGCTTCAAGCTTGAACAAGGTGCCCAGCTTTTGAAGGACCTCGAAAAGTTACTTGATTACACCGATGATATTTACAACGAAGTTAAGGAAGCTTTACCACAACGAAAACAAGATAGTGGAGAGGTTGAGTTTCTGCTTCCTTTTGACACTCCAGCGCTCGAAGACCAGATCGCAGCTTTGCAGGTGGTAGCTGCACTCATCATCACCGTGCTGCAATTGGGAGGAACAACACCAAAATTCACAGGACTCATACCAACTTCACCGCGATTTGCGGAGGCTGGTGTGAATGAGCTCAAAAAAGCAATTCGAGATCTCAAATGCAGTCAGCCAAAAGACTCGAAACGTCGTGGGACAGCCTTGAAGCGAGCAAAAACCCACAGCGCAATCACTGAGTTTTTGAACGCGATACTTACTATGGCTGACCTTCCTGAGCAGAAAGCAACAGATGGGGCGAAGGAACAGGACGGAGAAGACAACAAGGCTAGTGGATTAGAAGAGCAAAATCTGTTGAAACTTGGACACTTTGGATCCGATCCAAAAGAAGACGGCATGCCCGAGTACATCCAACACCACCCGGACAATGTGTACGCCAAAGTTCATGTTGATGACGTCGATACACGCAGCATGAATTTTTACAATCTGCCGTTTTCCAAGGCAAAGGAAAATCCCAATTACTACATCATCTGGAAGCCTATGGAAGCATGGGAATGTGAAAACTTGTTCCAGCATACGAAGAAACTTCGCATCAACGAAGAACATGCAAACATTCAACCACGCCAGGTGATCAAGAATCTTCTCGCCAAGTGGCTAAAGATCTCCAACGTCTACGACGACGAAGAGCTGCCCAGCCTTGAACTCAAAGAGCTTGACGAGAACCTTGCGGAATTGAGGGCACAGGACGAGAAACGGAATGTACACGAGCGAGCGCCCATAATTCGGGATCGTTCATGGTCTCCATCTCCAGCCTCTCGCGACGTTTTGCCGCTGACACGCCGAGTTCCACGCTACCGCGTAGATCGTTTCGGTCTGACATCAAAGACAGATTACTGGCGCAGCTGGGGCGGCCAGTCTGCAAGCCTTAGCAATGCTCTCAAATATGCTGGCTGGCAGCCGGTGTACATGAGAGGTACGGATGCAGGGCAAACATGGTTCTACGGACCGGACGTGATTCACATTCGCCGCTTCGCGGAGGATTACACTCCGCAAGAAGGGCCTCTGATTGACGGAGATGCTTCGTCTGAGGCAAAGGATTATCTCATTATTAGCACTGAATGGATCGAGGAAGAAGCGCTGCAGAGGCATGGCTTCCAGTACCAGCTACTGCCCTCTGGTCACTATTCGCTGGACTCGCGCTTGACTTGGGTGAATCAGCTCTTGCAAGCTGAAAGGAATGCATATGCTGACAAGTTGCTAGGGTGATATTCAGCTCATTGTGGCAGCCTCGAGCACGTTTCGCGAGGAACGTCTTTACCGCAAGTTCCGAAACGCGGAGAAAGGCGACCTCCACGATCCAAGGAAAGTCGCCACACCTGACCTGGACTACTTGAATGGCCCGGCGGCATTTGAGCGATCGACCAGAAATCGCGTGCCTGTCCCGGCCGCCACAAATTCGCGGCACGTCTCTCACAAGCTTGAGAATCTGCCAGAAGAGCCCTCGGAAGCTGTCTTCACCAAGAAGGCGGAAGTCAACACACCCGGCGTGGAGAGTCACGACTCGTTCATCGAGGTTGATAAATGACTTGCACATTTGTTGCCGGTCGCTCGTATGCTAGTGAAGTATTCATAGGTCAGACCCAAATGTGATATGGTTCACGACAGACACTCTGTTCGCTACAGCGTGGTCCCAATTTCTGGCAATCACCTGCCGCTATGAAAGAAGCCGTCGTGCTCATTTACTTGTTCGCGTGCTATGAACGTGACTATGCGCACCAAATATGTCTTTTGCAAGGATGATTTTTTTTTTCTCTATTCTTTGTTTTCCCCCTGTCTACTTTCGGCTTTTCGCGTTCGACCGAAAACACTCTCACTCTTTGCGTAGACGCATGCAAGCCGCACTGGCTAGGGTCTCGAAGGATTGGCAAAATCATAAAATTTGGACGATGGAGCATGTCTGGCCCATCGCTGATCTTCTGACGCCGGTTCAAGTTGCTGGTAAATCATAGATAATCTCCTGAAGCATTTGAAGTTCAAATGACAGCGGCAGAAGCTTGGCGGGACAAAGACCAGTGGGATATGTCATACGAAGTTGTGCATTGCAGATAATTAGCTCAATAAGCATTAGGCTAGATACAAGGGTTTTTTTTTTTTTTAAAAAACTTCCCGTTCAGTGTTTTAATGTTCCCTCTCGTCTTTTAAGGAGTGAATTAGATTCCTAGACGCCAATGACACGCCGTTCCGAAATCTTTAACGCCGTCAAGAAGGGTTCAATGCAAATTACGTCCATCATGCTAGGTTTGGAACTCTTACCAATCCTCCAAAGAACATGAAACACTTTACTAAAAATTTCTTTTTACAGTTTTACTCCAGTCAAGGAAAACCTTCAAACATCCATCGAGGACAGCTCATCGTCAATACACTTGTCCAAGAAATTCTTTCTCTCGCCCTGAAGCTGAGTCTGTAGTCTCTGCTCCACGAGAGCCTTCAGTTGCTTCTTACTCATTGAGTCGAGATCGACCTCTCTCAATATCTGGGCTACGGCTCCCTGTATCTCCTGGTCGGTCGGACCACGGCTTGGACCATCCATGAAGTTGACGGTGCTCATCGGCCGACTCATCGCGGAAGCACGATTATTGGGGCCGCCGAAGCCGAGTGGGCTCCGAGCACGAGATGCCCCACCCAGTAGATTCGGGCTGGAGCCAGCAAACGAGTTGTGCGAATTTGGTGTCATCAAGTTGTCTGTTGAGCCGACTGGTGGACTGAACATCATGCTGGGTCGATTGTTTTGATGACCGCTATTCATCATACCGGCGTCGCTCATATTCGCCATGCTCATATGACGATCCTGAGACATATTATTCATCTGGTAGCCTGTGAGGTTCGAGTACGTGCTCTGGCGCCCTTGCATGGTTTGGTATGGGCCCGGGCTTTGCGGCGGCATGTGACCGTGATTCATGCCAGTTAGAACCGTGGAAGCCGGCCGCGCATATGAGTACTGCGATTGGACGTCATCAACTTCATAGTCATACGCATTCGCCTCCTTTTCGTACTGTAGGCCCCGTCGACACGGCAAACCATTGGCAGCAGCATAGTCATCCCAGCGCTGCAACGGAATGGACTTGGGATCAAACGGCGCCTCGGGTTCCAGAACGACCTTCTTGCTACCATCCTCGTGCTGCACCACACGTGTGTTACCCCACGAAAAGTCGTCTTGCTTCCAGAAGGAGTAAATGGGAAGTGCAAGCGAGTAGATGGGGAAAGCGAGAATGTAAATGATCATCCAGCCAATATGCTGCCATTGCCTCTTGATGAGGAAAATAAGAGCCTGGAGACCGTACACTGCGGCAAGCATAGCAATCGAGACGATTGGAAATTGGCCGGAGTGTGTTGCGACCTTATAGATGAGGTAGCCCAAGTACGCACAAGTCGCAGGAAGAATCAAGGTACCGAAGAGATCGATGAACACCACGAATCTCATGCTGAAACAGCAAAAGCCGCACATATCGTGAACAAACATCAGCTCAGCCAAGTTGTGGATGGTCGAGTTGATCCAACGACGCCTCTGCGACAAAAGGATGCTCCACGTCTCAGGGGCAGCAGTGAGGGCACGAGCTGATGGAACGAACTTGTAGGACATTGAAGGGAAGTACTTGATCATCAACGTGGTCAAGTAACGGTCCTCGCCAAGAGCAAGCAGGTTCTTCTTGTGCAATGTGTCCACGTGTCCGTCGCTGTAATCGTTGATGACTTTGTCCGAAATGATCAAAGGCTTGCCCTTATCAGCGGTTCGTAGACGGTACATGCAGAAACTGGTCCGTGTCAATAAAAAGAGAAATCGAATGTAGCTTTCACGCGGAGCACTTACCATCCGGGCAAACACGTGACGCTTCCAAAGAGAGACTCGAATGCTTTTGCCAAGTGATGCGAAATGTAGTATTCGTACACTTGGATCATCGTCCACCAGGATCGATCCTCGTTATCAAGGCTCGTTTCACCACAGATACCGGCAATCTTTGAATCGTTGGCGCAGGCTGCTACGAGTCGGTTGAGCGAATCTTCGGTGACCATGGTATCAGCGTCAACCATCAACAAGTACTCGTACAATTCTGGGTCAACGCCGATGACATTGGAGATCTGGTGATACATCTCCAGCTCAAGAGGTGACATTGGAGCGCGGTGGTGGACACGGTTCAGGAAGCTCATGAGCATGACCTGGGAGTCACGCTTGCCGCGGTTACCTGGCTTCGGTTTGCCTTGCTCGGAGTCTTTTCCAACTTTAACAATGACGATGTAAGGCACAACATTGCCTTCGTACTCGTACAGGCCAGAGTACACTTTTCCATAATTCAGCTGCTCAGCACCCTCACCAACCGATTTGAAGGGCAAGGCCGGCGGGTCAATCTTCGGGTCAACGCCAAGAATATCCAAGACAATCTTCGGTGTTGGCCTATCGTTTCCGCCACCGACGACCATGCCATCACACATGACGCAGATCAACTTGCGCTTGTTATCGTAGGCCAGCGATGTCAAGGAGTCAAGACCCTTCCGGAGCTGTTCTTCACCCTCAGTGTAAGCGGGCACCTGACAAATTACGAATTTGTCTTGCGGAGCTGGCCGACGTTTAGGTTCCAGTTGCAACGCAGACAAAAATTTGACCGCAATGACTGTACAAAGGATGATTGTGAAGGCAAGCAAAAGGTAGTTGTTGACCTGGCAGCGGGGGGTGGTTCGGAAATCGGTGCGACCGAAATAGAAATAGTTGTTGAGGCAATTCAATGTGGTTTCCCTTGTAGATGTATTGAAGGCATCAAACGCGCTCGTCAGATCACCACCCGGATTCGACTGGACAGCTTGCTCCACGACACTTGGGAAGAACTGATAGCGGGGGTCATCCTTGTGGACAGTGTTGCGATTATAGAAGTAGTCCGTAAGATCGTATATGTCGTTACCCAGTCGAAACCACATTCTTTGGTCATTCTGGCCCTGACTTTGAACGTCTTTGATGCTCCAAACCAGATCACCCTTGTAATATTCTCTCATCTTTGGCAGAAATGTATCCTGATACCAGTCTAGCGATGCCAGCTTTGAAGTCCGTGTGGTTTGAAGAGGCCCTTGGTAGTGGATCGCTTGGCTAAGTTGGACAGTGTTGTTTGCTTGTAGGTAGAGAGAGGTATCGGTTACGTAGCCTGGGCAAGCTTTCGTCAAGGGGGGACGAATAAGCTCTGTTACATCAGTGCCCGCAAAGGGCAGCATCAGAGCGCTCGTGGTTTCGATATTGGTGTCACTATGTTGCAGTCTCCAGAATTTGGTCAGATCGTACACGAATCCGGCATGGCTCACCCAGTAATCGCTCTCTCCTTGATGATACGCTACCTCCTTCGATAACCATGCCTTGTCGAAATTGGGGCAAAGCAGTCGACCAAATTCGATGATATAGAAAACGATGAGGCCGTTGAGGAGGAAGATAAGGAACATGAGGACAACCTTCTCTCGCCATGCCAGTCTGACGTCGGGGCGCTTCATTCGTCCAACAAGGTGTAGAAGTGGAGAAGGGATCCAGAAAGTCAAAGCCCAAACCAGTGCTACCCAAGCCTTTCGAGATTTCGATTGCGGGACCTCTGTGACATGTCTCCCGGACTCGAGCTCGTTTTCATAGCGAATTTCTCCCTTGTACGAGTCCCCTTTGGTACCAAGACCATAGTCGCCACCAGTATTTGCAGGGAGTGTTCCTGCCTTCGAGGCCATTGTCAGGCGGCTCTTGTTTGCCGCAGCGAAGCTCTGGTTGCGTGAGAGAAGATTCTCGTTACTTGCGTCATCGGCGTTTGCACCGAAGAGACTGCTCCCAAGTGCTGGGCTATGCACGGAATAATTCCCACCCATCGGTGGTTGCGCTGGAGCCACACCACCCATAGCGCTCTGCGATCGCATATTCGAGTTCTGCATCTGCATCTCTAGCATGGTCTCAGCCTCCCACCATGCAGTTTCACGCAACCATACGCGCTCCTTGCCTACGACGACCTCACCATTGGACCAGCCTCGCTCCATCAACCACATCTCTATACCCTCTCTACCTTCCTGGCAGCCCAGTGGAGCGTAACGGTCCACGAACTCCTCGAGGGCAAAGTCCGCAGTGTAGTCTAGGGCACGATTACGTCGATTTGCCCATTCTGGTAGTCGCCAGGCTCTTAACTGGGATGAAACTGCACCTGCAGACCAATGGTTCCGGGTGAGATCAGCCAATTTTGCAGGATCCTCATCAGTGGGATGCAGGCTGAGTTGGAACCACACACGGCTGCTACTGATCACATTAGCGAGATCGAAGCGGCCGTGGTTTCCAAGAACCACACCCTGTCCGCTCACTGGATGCAATATCTCGGTCAGGAAACAGTCATCCAGGTCTGTGATCGACTGCGCCACGGCTTCAAGAACTCCTTCTCGCCGATCCAGCTGACGTTCACGCTCGTGGCCGGCAGCGTTGGTCATAATACCAAGATCTGGTTCTACTTTTTGCACCGCTGTCTGCATCTCCCGGATTACGGATACACCAGGGGGGACGACTTCCACACCATCTTCCTTCATCTCGGCGTTGATGCCTTCACTATCGTCGAAAACGGTACGGAGCGCTACAGCCTTTCCCAAGTCTTGGTCCGGTATGTTGATGACTCTGATGCTTACTGTCTCATCTTCTTCGGCAGCTGGGGCAGGTGGCGTGTCCATGCCGTTATCCGAGCCGATTGTCTTTCCTGTCCGAATTTCGTACTGCATTGCCGCATTGGCACGCGCAATGACCCAGTCGACCAACGCTTCGTAAACTCCCGAAATGAAAACATCGACTGTGGACTCCTGAGACTGTTTGTCGATGACAGCCTTGGGAACATCTAGAAGGAGGGACACAGCGTCACAGATACTGTCAATCTCCTCGGCGCTTAGGAAATAGTCTGAAACGTCTCCTAGCTTCAGCAAACCGGCAAGGCAGCAGATGAAATTGACCAAGGCGCGGCCTTTGATGCCGATGCTTTTCAGGTTGTTGCGAAAGTCTTCTGCCGCCGCAGCATCGTCCGCGGTCGGAATGTAGGATGGCGGCAAGAACGTGCCTGATCTTTTCAACAGATGATATGCCGAATATGGCTTCAAGTCCAGACGCTCCTTTTCCTTGGGCGAGCTCGAGCTCGTGATGAGGTAGTAGAGAGCGTCGAAGGCACGAGTACCAGCTTCAGACGGGATGTTCAGCAGCCCACGCTCTGTATCAAGTCCGGACTTGGAAAGGGCAAGAGAAGCAGATACAATCTCACCCTCGCCGATAGTGACGTCGAACTTGGCAGAGAGCGCAGAGTAACGAGGGAAGGAAGGGTTTTTGGCAGTTGAACAGTGCGTGAGGGCCCTCACGACCTCCAAGGCTGCATAGAAGCTGCTGGGCGCTTGGATAGGCAGGCAGGAGACCATGGGCGCCATCATTGCAGGAGTGGAATCGTGTAACGAACTGCAAGACCATCGATGAGTATTTCTCGGTTAACAGATGTCGGCAATTGCTTACCCAAGAATTATGCATGCATCTTCTGCTCGTCTTCTGGCGTGCTCCCACGCTTTTCGAGCAAGTTCCTGATCCGTGGTGCCACCGTAGCGACCGTCTACGCCCACAGCCTGAGCCGTTTGCCATGTGTTCACGACCAGGCTCGTACTCGCCTCCAGAGGGTGAGGTAAGCCATTGGAATAGCTCGTGTGCAGCGCATTTAGGAGGGTCTGGACGGAGACTTGGGTAGACTGGCCGTTGGGCGGACGGGGCACAGAGCTACTGAGGCTCGACATTGTCGAGAGTCTTTGGTGATTGTAGGCCATCTGTGCAGGACGGTTGGGAGAGGACTTGTAGGGCCAGGCGATGGCCTCAGACGAAGCTGGCGTCGACCAGCCCGAGAAGGTGCAAGGACGCGGTCGTGAGCAGTGGTTTCGTGAGAGCTAGGCGGAGCAAACAGCAGCGCGAGATGCTTTATTCCGGTCGAACACGCGGAGGATGAGGTGATCAGGCGCGGTGCCGGACGCCGAAGATGGGAAAGACTGCGCCCCTATGCAAAGAAGGAATCGAGGAAGAGATTGGGAAGAAGGATAAACGCGTTGCGGAGCGAGTGTCGAAAGGGAAAAAAACGCAGGGCAAAGAAGAAGACACGCGCAACGAAGGTGAAGAGAACGACGGAGAGCGTTTGAAACGATGGTTTTCCGGGCTGGACAGTTTGGATGAAGCGAAAGTTAGCTGGGCCAAGGGTTGAACAGGCCCACACACAATCACAAGCAAGGTGTAAGTCGCTGATGCCCGGCCGCTTTTGCACGCATGAGGAGGTCATTGAATGTCCCAGCAACGCGTTCCGAATGCGGCCTAGCGACTACCCCGATTTAGCTGCGCGCCGGGGGGGACGCTGGGCCGGGGCGTGGCTGAGGGCGCGGCGATTGGTGAGGCCCAGCCGGTGCTTGGGTGCAGCCCCAAAATAGAAGACGCAGTCTGCACCTGTCGACGACGCCGGCAGCCCGTCGAGCTATTGAGAGGCAAAACCACTGTCCCGACGCGGCTCCGTCCAAGTATTGGCTCGCACGGCGCCGTGCTGGCCGTTCGGAGCCCGTCGTGCAAGCAGCGTGAGCACACGGCTGTCCCGGCTGTCGACGACGAGAGCGTGGCCTGCCTCAGCACGCACAGGCGCGGCGTCGGACGATCGAAATGAAGGTTTTTCGTTCTGGAAGGCGTCGAAAAGCCAGACCCAAATGAGACCCCTGACGCCAAACTTGAACGGGCGTGTGGCCAGATCGGCTCCTGAGCGAGGATGAGGAGAGGGAGGGGGGCACGGTGGAGGGCGGCGCGTGAAAGGAAACGGCCTGGCTCCTCACCACAATGCGCATGCACGTTTTACCTCCAACGTGCTGCTCCGCCGTGTTGTGACAGCAGCAGCTCCTGCCGGCCGTGCCACCGCCACCAGCACTGCTCCGACGACGACGACGACAACCACCACCACCAACACCAATACCACACTACCACCACCATCACGCGCTCCACTCCTCTCGTTTGTCCTATGTGTGTATGTGTGCATGAACTCTCCCCCGCATACGATGCGAGAATGCCGTCCCGGACGGCCCCTAGTGGTTCGTCCGTCCTCTTGAACGTCGCGCAGCCTGCCGGGCTCCCGCCGGTGCGCTGGTGCAAGCCTTGGAAGACGACGTCGAAGGCCTCTCTTGCTCGACTTGTGCACTGCTGTTGCGGCATGGACGGGAGGGCTGACGCGGTCCCATTCCTGTCGAAGCCAGCATGGCATCACGCTGCCATCCGCACACTCTCTTTCCAGCGAGCGTCGTAAAGCGACTCCAGCCCACGCGATCGCTCTCCGGGTTTTGCTAGAGCCTTCCATCCTGCTCCATCGAAACGGCCTGTGTTCGGCTGCACCCATCAGGCTCTGCCCTTGGCACGAGCACCATCGACGCTGCGCTGTCACTTTTTCCTTTTCCTTTTCCCTCTCCTGGCCCACCCGCGTAGGGTTTGCCCTGGTCTGCCTGATCGGGCCGTCAAAGAAAAAATAGCTGGACAGGGGCTGCTGCCACGGCGGCCACTGCTGCTCCCCATCGATTTCCGCCGAACCGCGAAACCTCGCTATTGCGCAACGCCATGCCCCGTCCATACGTGAATCCTCCTCCCAACACCATTGACCACAACATCTCGTTCCGACCGTCTGTTTTTCCTTGCTGTGCTGTGCTCCAGCCCTCATCACTCTCGCTATTTTTCCTTACTCAGCATTCGTTCCCGCAGTATTTGCTGCTGTCTTCCCTGTTGATACATACTTTTACTTTCCAGCTTGTGTTTTTGGGTTGGTCTCGTCCCCGTATACTTTGACAGAGCCCCAGAAGAAGCCGTCGAACTGCAGATTCTTCGCCTCCACGCCGTCCGCTGCTGCTCGAACCATCTGGTCCATCCTGTACGCCGTGGAAAACTGTTGCCTCGTGCAGCTCAAATCAGAATCTTTGTCCCGTAAGGGGCGTCTGATCCATCATGTCGAGCCAGACGAACGAGGACTCGCTGCCTTCGCTCCCGCTCCACCAGCAATCCGACACGCAGTTGACTCAGCACCTCGCTGCCAGATACTATGCACATCTCCCCACCGCTCGACTGAGCTCACAAGCTCTCATCACGTTCAATACGTATACGTCGGCCACGGACGGAAAGAATGGCACAGAGGAAGGAAGTGCCGCCGCGGCCACCAAAGATCTTGCCACAAGACTCTGGGCCCGACTTGGCCATCGACAGGAGAATCAGGCAGTGTTGTTCTTGTATGCTGTCGTCTCATTGCTCACTGGTGGCCAAACGACGCTAACGTGACACAGGGGCGAATCGGGCTCTGGCAAAACAACGATTAGATCACACCTGTTGACAGCTCTGCTCTCGTTTTCATCCACCCCGCTGTCGAACAAACTTTCCTTCGCTGCCTACGTCTTCGACTCCTTGACAACAACAAGATCGGCCACCACGCCCTCTGCATCAAAGGCCGGGCTCTTCTACGAGTTACAGTATGAAACAAGCTCCGCAAACCACCCAACCCTCATTGGCGGCAAGCTACTCGATCACCGCCTGGAACGAAGCAGGATATCGCGAGCTCCTGCCGCGGGTGAGCGCAACTTTCACATCTTGTACTACTTGGTTCAAGGGGCGAGTGCCAAGGATCAAGCACACCTGGGCCTCTTGAGCAATGGCAACACTGCCCATGGCGTAGGCAGCAGAGCGTCTTTGGGTCAAAAAAGATGGCGGTATCTTGGGCACCCAGCCCAGTTCAAGGCTGGAATTCACGATGAGGAAGGTTTCAAGCAGTTCCAGTACGCGTTGCGAAAACTCGAGTTTCCCGTTACCGAAATAGCAGAGATATGCCAGATTTTGGCTGCTATCCTCCATCTTGGACAACTCGAATTCTACACCACATCTGATACCACCCCGGCAGCCAATGACAGTGGCGGATACTCACATGAAGGCGGAGAAAATGTGACCAAAGTTGCGAACAGGGACACATTGGGAACTATCTCCGCATTTTTGGGTGTAACGGAGCAAGATCTAGAGACCATGTTCAGTTACAAGACGAAAACTCTGCATAAAGATCGGGTCACCGTCATGCTCGACCCGGCCGGAGCCCAGAACAGCGCCGACGAGCTGGCGCGTACGCTGTATGCTCTGCTTGTTGCCTGGATCGTCGAGCGTATCAACCGTCGGATATGTGCGAATGAGGAGTTCGTTCACAACACTATCTCGATCGTTGATTTCCCCGGCTTTGCAAAACAGGCCTCGTCCTCTTCGCAAATCTTGGATCAGCTGTTGAATAACGCGGCTTCGGAGCAGCTCTACAATGTCACACTGACGACCTTTTTCGAACGCCAAGTCGAACTTCTTGACAACGAAGAAGTAGCTATTCCTCCCACGAGCTATTTTGACAACAGCGATGCAGTCCGTGGTCTTTTAAAACCAGGCAATGGCTTGCTGAGCATTCTAGACGACCAAGCAAAACGCGGTAAAACCGATCATCAGTTCCTTGACGCTATTAGGAGGCGATTCCAAGATAAAAACCCCGCGATTTCAGTGGGCAGTTCTACGACAATCGTCCCTGGAAGCAACTTCGCAACCCGTAATGCTGCTGCTGCCTTCACTGTCAGACATTATGCTGGTGAAGTCGACTATCCAGTAGAGGGGCTGATGGAGGCAAACATGGAAGTCATCTCTGGAGACATGCTTAACATGATCGCAAAGACAAAGAGTCATTTCGTGGGCGAACTGTTCGGTCAGGAAGTGCTCAACAAGGTCGTCCATCCACAGGAACAGACTGCCGTCATGCAAGCTTCGGTTGCCTCGAAGCCAACTCGCAAGCCGACCGTGAGCCGGAAGAAGTTTGACAGATCTGCTCGTACCGCGGCGCGTCAACCTGCGATCGAAGATGATCTCATCAGTGAGCCGGATAGTAGAACGAGCACTGTGGTCGGCGGCCGTGGTGGCAAGACGTCAGATACTGCCCAGCCTGGTGCCGCTTCTCAGTTCTTGTCGTCCTTACAAGCCATCATGAGTAGCTTAACGGCACCGCACACAAACACATACTTCGTCTTCTGCTTGAAGAGTAATGACAAGCGCATGACGAACAGCTTTGATGTCAAGAGCGTCCGACAGCAGCTGCAGACTTTTGGTATCGTGGAGATTAGTCAAAGGCTACGTAACGCAGACTTCACAGTCTTCATGCCATTCGGTGAATTCCTCACCCGGGCTGAAGGAGATGCCATCTTCGTGGGTAGTGACAGGGAGAAATGCCAGGATATCATCGACCAACGCCACTGGCCCGCCAATGAGGCACGGGTGGGTATCACGGGTGTTTTCCTCAGCGAACGTTGCTGGCTAGAAATTGCAAATATAGAGTCTGTCCATCTTCCGCCCCGCACGCGATATCTGGACGCTGAAACTGACGACGACGCGACACCCGGTTCGCGAGGATTTGGCGACTCCAATGTCCATCTCGTCCCATCGGGCGGTGGCTATTACTCCGATGACAAGGCTGGAGGCTATTTCGGTGTGAAAGACGCAGACTTGAAGTCCGACGCTGGAATGTCCGCCATCAACGGCGACATGTTCCGACACCTGGATACTCGTTCGCAGATGGCCGAGAAGGCGAATGCAAAGGAGCAAAAGCTACAGAATATCGAGGAACATCAAATCTCCGGTAGCCGCAAGCGTTGGCTGTTCTTCGTGTACGCCTTGACCTTCTACATCCCAAACTTTCTTATCAGGTGGATTGGTCGCAGAAAACGAAAGGACATGCAGATTGCGTGGCGAGAAAAATTCGCCATCAATTTGCTCATATGGCTCAGCATCGCTGGTGTCATGTTCTTCATGATCGGTTTCCCCGAGCTGATCTGTCCCCGCCAAAACGTGTATACACAATCGGAGCTGTCCGCATATGACGGCAAGAATGGTCACAGTGCATATGTGGCTATGCGAGGCATCGTGTACGATCTGAATGCTTTTGCTCCTCGGCACTATCCGAGCATCGTTCCAGAGTCCGCTCTTTTGAAGTATGCTGGCAAGGACGCGACTGCTCTATTCCCTGTTCAGGTCTCCGCACTCTGCAATGGTGTAGATGGTACCGTCGATCCTGCTGTCCAGCTAGACTTTCGGAACACCAACTACAGTGACACGAAGAATCTTGTCAGCTCCACTGACCTGAACGCCCAGTACCATGATTTCCGTTGGTTCACAAATGATTCGCGGCCAGACTGGTGGTGGGAACAGCAATACATGCTTAAGCATCAATATCAGAAAGGAAACATCGGCTTCCCGCCCAAGTATATTGCAAAACTAGCCTCTCAGAAGAACGCGATTGCCAGTATACACGGCAAAGTGTATGACTTGACATCGTACATCGCTGGAGGACGGACACCACAGTATGGTTATCATGAGAAGCCAAGCACTCCGCCAAACTCCAATTTTATGGACCAGCGGGTAGTCGATTTGATCCAAAATGGAGCCGGTGAGGATGTTTCCAAATACTGGGATAACCTTGATATCGATGCCGCTTTGAAAAGCCGCATGCTGGTTTGTCTAAACAACCTATTTTATGTCGGCAATGTGGACACTCGAAGCTCGACTCAGTGCTTGTTTGCCAAGTACATTTTGCTGGCCATTTCGATTTTGCTCTGCAGTGTCATCGGCTTCAAGTTCCTCGCTGCTCTACAATTTGGCAAGAAGAACGTACCTGAAAACCTTGACAAGTTCGTCATTTGCACGGTCCCGGCGTATACGGAAGATGAAGAGTCTCTGCGGCGCGCCATCGATTCCGCTGCTCGCATGCGGTATGATGACAAGAGAAAGCTCCTCTTCATCGTTTGTGACGGAATGATCGTTGGTCAGGGTAACGACCGCCCTACTCCACGGATTGTTCTCGATATCCTTGGCGTGTCGGACACGGTGGACCCAGAGCCCCTCAGCTTTGAGAGTTTGGGCGAAGGTCAGAAGCAACATAATATGGGTAAGGTTTACTCTGGTCTCTATGAGGTCCAAGGTCATATTGTGCCGTTCATCGTCGTAGTGAAAGTTGGAAAGCCATCCGAAGTCCAGAAGTGAGTACCCGTTGTCTATTTACTCCGTAACCCAGCTCGAAACTGACGGTAGCAGGCCTGGCAATCGTGGCAAGCGTGACTCTCAGATGGTCCTAATGCGCTTCCTCAACCGCGTTCACTACAACCTGCCTATGACGCCAATGGAACTCGAAATGCACCATCAAATCAGGAACGTTATTGGCGTAAATCCAACGTTTTACGAGTTCATTTTACAGATTGATGCCGACACTGTGGTTGCTCCTGATTCAGCCACTCGTATGGTGGCCTCCATGGTTGCAGACACGAGCATTATCGGTGTGTGTGGAGAAACCGCGCTTACCAACGCAAAAACTTCTGCCATCACCGCCATCCAGGTCTATGAATACTACATCTCACACAATCTCACAAAGGCTTTCGAAAGCTTGTTTGGGTCCGTCACATGCTTGCCTGGTTGTTTCTCAATGTATCGCGTTCGCGCCGCAGATACTGGCAAGCCACTGTTCGTGAGCAAGGACGTCGTCGATGACTATGCTGAGATCCGAGTGGATACACTACACATGAAGAATCTGCTGCACTTGGGTGAAGATCGATACTTGACGACACTGCTTATGAAACATCACCCCAAGTACAAGACAAAGTACATCTTCCGCGCGCACGCCTGGACGATTGCTCCGGAAAGCTGGTCCATCTTCTTGTCTCAGCGACGTCGCTGGATCAACTCTACTGTCCACAACCTCATCGAGCTCATCCCGCTTCAACAACTTTGCGGTTTCTGCTGTTTCAGCATGCGCTTCATCGTTTTCATCGATCTGCTGTCCACCGTTGTACAGCCAACTATCATCGGTTATATTGCTTATCTGGTCTATCTGGTAGTTACAAATAGCACTGTCGTGCCCATCACTGCATTCATTCTTCTCGGAGCCATCTACGGTCTGCAGGCAATCATTTTCATCCTCCGTAAGAAGTGGGAGATGATCGGATGGATGATTATCTATGTCCTCGCGACGCCAGTCTTTGCATGCGCTTTGCCCCTGTACGCCTTCTGGCACATGGACGACTTCTCATGGGGCAACACTCGTATTGTCACTGGTGAAAAGGGCCAGAAGGTCGTCATTTCCGACGAGGGCAAGTTCGATCCTGCAAGCATACCTCGCAAGCGATGGGAAGATTACCAAGCAGAGCTCTGGGAGGCGCAAACCCAGCATGACAATCAAAGCGAAGTGTCTGGCTTCTCGTATGCTACGAAGAATTTCCCTCAGGGTAGCGTGGCTGGTGCCGCCTCTCCCTGGCAGCGTGTTGCTACTCCCGGTTCAGATTATGCCAACGTCCCGCCATCCAGGCCAATCTCACACCTTGATCTACCCAGAGCGAACAGCCGCATGTCACTGGCTGCAAGTCAAATGATGGGTGGCGAGCTTTATGACATGGAGATGAACGACATCAACCTCCCGTCTGACGACGTGATACTCTCCGAGATCCGCAACATTCTTCAACATGCAGATATGATGAAGACGAGCAAGAAGACCGTCAAGGAAGAGCTTGAGAGAAGGTTCCAGGTTGACCTCAGTTCCAAGAGAAAATACATTGGTTACTGTGTTGAGAGCATCATCAGTGGGCAGTTGTAAATCAAAAAAAAAATACTCGTCAGAGAAGGATCCTCATGATTCAGTCTATAATTTAGCATTGCATTTGGATAATCAACGGGTATTTTGATGGTGTTTTAACTCCAGGATTAAGGAACTGCTTGAATTGTGGTTTTACGGCGTTAGACGGCGGGTATTTTTCACCTTTAGCTAAAGACATTAATGTATGATGGTACAGTATCTAATCAACATTTTCCAATGACTTCTGTCACCCTAAAACGTGTTTGACCGCACACAACGAGCAAGTCGACCTTTAGGGCGGTTTTCCACGTCAAATGTCGACGCTTCAGTGGCATGGTGAACCCTGATAGCCAGCCATTTCGAAGCGATGTCAAGCTTTGCGTGCAATTTGATGGGCCAAGTTTTGCGAAGGCAACGTGCAAAGATCTCGTCTGTACTTTGGCAAAAGCCTGCGAGCCTGCGCATTTCATTCGCTCTCTTCAACCTTTTGCAGAAATTGATCATGCCTCTTCTCAATCCGTCCGACTTTTCTTTGAAGCACATTTCATCTCGACTGCTTCAGTACGCTTGAGCAAGAATTACCATCAGCAGGAAGAGCTGTGCCGTTTGAAACGCTAGCCTAGGTACCTCTCTCACTTCACGTTGTCACCTTTAAGATGGCCACACGCCTCGGAGGTCAAGGAAGTTTTTGCGGGTGGAAGCTTCTTCCCCCATCCCCTTTTCCCCCTCGTGGTTTATTGCGCCCATGCAGGAAAGAAAAAAGGGGTTGACGGCATCAATTGTGCAGAATACCGTTGAACGGCTGAGGTAACTTTTTCTCTCGGTGCCGCCGGGCAGAATGTCTCAGCTGGCAAATGTCGCGGCGGGCGCTTTGACATAAGGTCAGGTTCGTCCATGGCAACTAGGTCTTTGATGGGTTGAACCGGATCACGTGGGAGCTTTCGGTTCGTCTTCGTGCAGCAATGGAAGAGAGTGCATGCTTAGCTGGTTGAATGTGGGTTTGCTCTCGTCGACGGAAATGAAGGGTAAGTCGGGGGGGGCCCGAATGTATTCACAGGCGACTGACTCATCGGCTAACACCACGTCGAAATGGTCTCGCTTGAGATGAAGTCGGCAGATCGGCGCGATATGTATGTGCACGAGGAGAGCGTTCACGGCGGCCAGGTCCACGACAAAAGCCGGAGAGCTATTCCTAGCGTCGCATGGAAGCAACGTGGACAAGCTGCATTAGCAATGCTCATGCTCCAGGACGGGGCATCGCGCAGCAATGTACAGTCTACAATGCGGAGACGATATTGAGGTCCAGGAATCTTGTCGCGGTGACAGCTACGATGGAATGGCGCTCATCCGGAGCCAAATTTGGCCGAAAAATCAAGAGCACCTTTCCTGATTCGGTTGCCAGGACGGGATATGTTAAATCAGGTGTTGTCTTCGGCTGCAAATAGCAATCACGCCAGTCCCTGGACAAGCAACTGCATACATGCGGGAACGCCTGCAGAGACGTGATGAAGACAACAGATGAGCGGTCACAATGACAGACGAAGCATATACAGCTACGTGGTTGATAGGACCAGCTCTTAAAAGCGCTGAGCTAAAAACAGGAACGTGCGACGAACGTCATCTACTTCCATGTGTGCATTCATGGTGGAAAGGGCTTAAAGGGTTGCATCGCGTAGATGTCGCAAGGGTATATACTCCCCCCTTACAGCCGAGACATGAAATTCCTGAGCTTCCAAGATCGGCGAGCCACGTCTGAGATTCTTCCAGAAATGCTCGAGCCTGAGTCGGGAGAGAACAAGGTGTGTGAGGGTGCAACTTGGATCACAGAAACAAACACAGTGCTGCTGGCGCAGGTATGGTTTGAGGATGGCAAAGCCGGAGTAGATTGTAAGGTTTTCTGGGTGGACTGAATGATCTGCGTCGCGAATACACTCGACCCGGTAAAGATGCCGGGCATCGTTTATGGACGGGAATCTGTTCGCTCGATTCCTGGGCCATCATCATCATCCTCACCGAAGCACTTCGAGAGGAGACGAGGTGAGCCAAATGTACCGGAGCCGCAGTTGGCACAAATAGAGGCTTTGCTGGCTGCTCTCCACACCCTTACCGGCAGTCGGCTTGGCGGCCAGAGTGGACACGTCGTCCAGAGACCCATTCTTCCGACGCGCACCATTTGTAGCTGCCCTAAACGCTGGGTCGGCGTCTTGAAACGAGCATATTTAATCTGTAACTTGGAGGCGCGTGGAACAAACAGTGTAACGGAGCGCAAGGCCAAAGGCTGGCCGTAACCTCGAGTGGAGATGGGGCGCGGCAAAGAAGTGGTGATAGCTTGGTACAACACAAGTCGACGCGTTCACAAGGATGGCACGCGACAGCGACGACGTTGGAAGTTGGAAAGAACGGTGTTCGACTGCGTTGCGAGCTTGTCCAACCCTGAGCAGCGCGGTTCAAGAAAAACATCCCGATTCGACTTCCAGGCCCAGGCTTGGGTTCTCCCTGACGCCAGGCTGGTTCCAGCATGGCCAGAAGGATGGTGCCGCGCGCCGATCTGCTCCCAGAACGACGGCTCGGCACACAAGAGGCATCGGCTTGGAGCTGTGGAGTTGGCTTGCGACAATGTGGCGCCATCCGTCTGTTGCACTGGCCTGACGGTCTGGGTAGGGGTACGTACCCGTCGAAAGCAACCAAACCGTTGCAGGTAGTCACTCGTTTGATGCTTCTGGGGCCGTGGCTTTGCTCGACCAACGTGTCGAAACAACGCGATTTGCAGTCTTCGGTGCAGGCATGCTTGGACGTGGTCTACGCACGGGATGCAGAGATGGGGCTGGCTGTGTGGCAGATCTGTTCTTAGGCATGTGACATATACATGCTCGCCTCGCTAAAGATAGCCGCGCCGGGGAATGAGAACAAATAACACAGAAATTTGGGCCGCGTCGGTCTGGCGCTCTGTTTGCTCAGCGCTGAATGGGGCCACATCGTTCCCAGACCCAACAGAGAGCTGCCGGGACGAGGAGAGGGCTCGGCACAACCATGGGCGACCACGAACTGGACTTTGGCCGGTTGGGGGACGCGCTCCTGCGAAAGCGACGGAGCTTTCGAGGTGTGCGCGGCAACAAGCATGGCTGCCGCACGACGAAAGTGCAAACAAAAGAGGGTGGCGTTCTCGCGGGACGACGTCTCACACGAAGTAGATGTGCAGGAAGTCCACTGTCACGAACGGGACGAGCAGTCCAGAGCGAGGAAAAGGGAGCAGATCAGGAGACGCAAGGAGGCCGTGTGTCAACGGGCTCTTCCACGAGCATGCACAGCAAGAACCCCCCCACACGCTCTAGGGTGGTGCACGGCGAAGTGTCCCCGCAGCGTTGACTGATGGACCGCCGTCGTCGCGGCGAGCAGGAAAAGCTGACGGACGCGTCCAGTCCTGCTGCTTCTTGGGTCGATTTCGCCGCGGGCCACGCCAGGAACGCAAAGCTCGAAGCAGCCGGCCGGCGATGCGCAGCCGTCACAAAGACGACAGCAAGCGTCACCTTGGCTCCGAGCCGAACGGCCACGAGCAGATGTGCAGAGCACCGGCCGCGGGCGTCGACAGCGACTGTCAAGCAGGCCGGCCGGCAAGGGGACGTCGAAGAGCTGCACGGCGTCGTTCAGCCCAAGCGGAGGCGTGTGTGCGTGCGATCTCCTGTCGAGCCCCCATCTCCTTGCACCCACCACGCCCGGCGGTCCAGCCTGCAGCCGTCGCGGGCCAATGCGTGCTGCTGGCGCTGTCCCGTTTGCGGGCTAGCAGCAGAGAATCAACGGCCTCCAAGCCTTTCGCTGGGTCGAGCTGCACGGTGCACGGGGGCGGAGGGGATCCTCATCGTCGTTTGACCAGCGCGGCCTACACGCTTCTCATTTCCCCGATTGCACCGCGCACCACCACCACCACCACCACCATCACCTCCTCCCTGGCCCCGTCCTCCTCGTTGCGGATGGCGGTTTGTGACGTGCTTCTTCTTGCCATCCTCTGTCTGATGTGAGCATCGCGCTCGCTTTTCCATTTTGGCTTTCTGCACCCATTCGCATCGGCTGGACCACGTCTTCGTGCCCTGGCGCCGGAGCTTCGCACCTCCGTTGGGCGAACGTCGAGGTGAACGACCATCGCCAGAGCCACGGCGACGCACGCAAAGCACGCATACGCTGCCCCTTCGCACGTTCGAAAACGCACCTGCACTCGCTCCCTGGCGACCGCTGCCGGCTCGATCTGACCGATGGCCACGCTCGAGGCCTCGAGCCCGTTTCCCGACAGTTCGATCGATCCGGACGATGTCGTGTACCCGTGCAAAGGATGTGGAGAGGTATGGCAACGATGCTGGCGATGGACTGTCCCCGTCCAGAGGATGCGTGTCGGCGCGATGGAAGAGTGGTGACAGCGTGACTGACGATGCCCGACGCAGATTCTCGAAGAAGGCAAGGCCTTTGAGCTAGGTAGGAGCCACCGTTACCGCCTCGATTCGCATCCCCCTTCCTCCCCGTCCCCATGCCGTCTCCCTGTTGCTTGTGTCGCTGTCTTCGCCGCTCTCTTCGCCGAATGTGCGGCTCGCAGCCGAATGCTTGACCTACTACGTCCACACTTGCCTGTGGGCTGCCTCTACGCCTGGCCGACTCTTCTCTCCACCTTCTCGTCCACACCCTCTGACCCCAGGTGTACTTGCGTTCGTGCCTACCGTCTGGCTTCTACCGCTCGTTCACCCTCGCCCCCGCCTTGCCCATACCCATGACCATCGTCACGGCGCTCGCTCTTTCGGTCTTGGAGAGAGCGATTAGGGATATGCATCAGATTGCTAACGTGCATTTGAATCGTTGCGTAGCTGGCAACCGATGGCACATTGACTGCTTCCGGTGTAACACCTGCGGCACCCTCCTCGATTCCGACGCTAACCTGCTCCTTCTCGGCGACGGCTCGCTCATCTGCAACAATTGCACGTACAGTTGCAGCGCTTGCAACAACAAAATCGAGGACCTTGCAATCCTGACCGGCGATCAGGCTTTCTGCGCCAATTGCTTTCGGTGCCGCAATTGTAAACGCAAGATTGACAACTTGCGCTACGCTCGCACATCACATGGCATCTTTTGCATGAGCTGTCATGAAAGTCTGATGGCACGACGACGCAAGAACAAAAAAGCGACACGCAACCCCACGCCTGCCTCCAACGGTCTTAACAAATCTTTGCCTGACATTCCGCAACATGAGATCCCACCCAGCGCATTCGACACGCCAGATCTCGAGACGCCGTCGTCAGACAAGCTGAACGACTCCGTTTACTCGGGCGGCGCCTCTTCAAGCCGTGCTACCAAGACTCGAAAGGATGGTAAGTGTCTCTTCATGTCGTGCCAAACAATGACCGAAGAAATCTGTCCATCTAAATTCGCAAACGAGTGTACGACATGCCTACGACTTGGCTTTCTAACGAGAGTCCACAGCAACCGACGACGATCAAATCTTGCTACCTGCATCTACTTTCCAAGGTACCACCGCTAGCAACAACAATAACAACAATCGCACATCCTCAAACTCAAAGACCTTGTCGTATGCAGACAACGGCACCGACTTCTTCGGAAGTGTTCCTTTCATGCTTGACCCTAAGGATTCCGTGAGCGAAGCGTCACCTCCACCTAGAAGCGGGGAGTTTTCAGAGGCAGGAGGTAAGATGGAGAGTAAGGGTACTTCTCGCGACTACTTCGGACGTACTCCCGCATCCACGTCTCTAAGAGAACCGTCGTTGCGGGAATCTCTTAAGCAAGAATCACGGTCCTCATCAGTGGAGCGCAACCAGGGGACAAGTCCACATATAGCGTATCAACAAAAGGACCGTAAGGCCACCGAACACATTAGTGATACTATGAGAAAACGTCAAGACGAGCAGAACCGGTCCAATGCGCAGGTCACTTCTCTACAGGACTCGTCGACCGAAGGAGATTTCAAACTACAAGATGTGCCTAAGCAACGAAAAACCTCTACACCGCGACAAAATTCTAGGAATGAGGGCTCTACGACCGCCGCGAGCAGCCAAGTGGTTGAGCGCAACGACCAAGCACGCGAGAATAAGCGCAACTTGGATGCAGCTCCTCGTCTGGTAGAGCGTATATCCTACGTCTCTGACGACTGGCCTTCACCTGGTCCTGGCACCCCGCAAAGTCTTGTGGCGCCCACGAAAGAGGTTGAGCGCCCTAAGCGAGGTGACTCTCTAGCAGCTTCAGCCTTGAAACCCTCCGTCACGAGAAAAGAGGTTGGCTCCGCGGGTTCATCGGGACGTACAACACCAACACCTCCGACAACTCACGATCGCGCTGTCCCGTCGTCAGCATCCCAAAGTAGCCGATTCACATCCAAGCAGACCGAATCTCCCGAATCGAAAACACAGTTTGAGCCGCCACCTCGTGCCCCGAGCCGTCCGGGCACTGTTCAGAACACATCTGAGACGGACATCTTTGCCGCGCCTCGAGCCCCCCCTCCGGCTCCTCCTGTTACCAGACATGCACCGAGTGCATCGACAAGCACTGTTCGCAGCGATAGTTCCACCCAAAAGTCGCCCAACCTTCCCCGCAGTAGCACTGGTGGAGAGTTTAGCATGACGGAAGAGTTCGAACGTATAATGGGAGGCGGAGAGAAGAGCAGCGAGCCGGGTATGTTCCGCAAGGTTTCAAACGCTGTCAAGCACGGGAGAAGCTTCAGCGATCGGGCTCCACGGTCTGAGCGTTCGTCGCAGTCGCAAAAGTGGCCACGATCACCGCTGAACGGCTCGATGGAGATCAGCAGTCCTACGTCAGCGACGTCTCCGAATGCTCATGAAGAGAACATTCTATTGAAGAACAAGCTACGTCAGGCTCAAGAAAGAATCGCGAAACTTGAGCTCGAGAAGAATGGCTTGCAGACGCTCGTGTCAAACAACGTCGACATATCACAGGTTAATATAGAGCTGAAGGAGAAGCGGTCAACCATGGCCTTTTTGGACACACAGCGCGAGCTCGTCGTACGCGAGCTTGAAATTATGACTGAGCATCTACGCCGAGCCAAAGATTCAAATCAAGCTCTGGACGTCAACGAGCTAAAGTCAGGAGTGACTCGTGATTTCGCTGCGGCCCTGCAGAAGCTGAAAGACACTCTCGGGAAACAGATCGAGGAGCTTATGCAGAAGAGAAATGATTTGACAAGCGAGATTGACGATCTTATTCAGATGAAGGATAAAGGCTTCCAAGAATATGAATCGCTTAGCGCACGCAATCATCAACTAACACAGCATAACAATGAGCTTATCGCTAGCATTCAGGGTAACATGAAAGCCAGCGCACGCCACAATGCTGCCGATGGATCTGCCGATGCTGGTCGACAGATGGCCAACGGCTTAGGCTTGTACATTTCTCAAAACAAGCATGGAGTGCGGCAAGATTCGAACGACCTGCGAGAACTTCTGAGTTCATCTACGGACTATTCCCAGACCACACTTGCCACAGATCAAGACTCAGAACCTCTCGTCGTCGCGACACCCCAAGTGGTCAAGATTGGAAAAGGTAGACCAAACGTGTTCAAGAAGGGCACTCAAGGTTTTGTCAAAGGGCTGCGCAATGTCCGAAAGGAACTCGCCGGCGCCGAGCGGACGGACCGTTCTGCCGAGCGCAACAACAGCATGCCCTATAATCTCGAGGGCACTCCCTACAACCAGATGCCTCAAGTTACCGATCAAAGCCGCAACGAGACGCGTACTCCGGCTGACGCTGCGGGGCGTCAAAAATTTGGTGATTTTTTCAGAGGCGAGCGCTCGGAAAAAGGCCATCTTAAGCATTTGAAGGGTGGTCCCAACAGCAGCAACACGAATCTAGTCAGTGATTCAAATCTTGTCTTCGGCACCGATCTCAGCCTGCGTTGTGAATACGAGAAGCGCGTCATCCCCAGTATTGTAAGCCGATGCATTGAGGAAGTTGAGCTTCGAGGTATGGACGTGGAAGGTATCTACCGCAAGAGTGGCGGAACCGGCCAAGTCAATCAAATTCGAGCAGGTTTCGAGAAGGATGTTGATTACGATATATCCGACCCAGATCTTGACATTCATGCTGTGACGTCTGCATTAAAGCAGTATCTTCGCAAGCTACCTACACCGCTCATTACCTACGACGTCTACGAACACCTCCTCGAATGCGCACGTATTGAAGATCAGAAGGCACGGGCGCAGCCCATGAAGGCTGCCATCAATGCCTTGCCCAAGAGCCACAAAGATTGTTTGGAATTTTTAGTCTTTCATCTCGCAAAAGTTATGGCCCATGAGAAGCACAATTTGGTAAGTTCTGCCGATCCCTGTACAGGTTTTCTTATTGCCCACAAGAGCAATGTGTATGCTGACACGACACTCTCATAGATGACTCCTCTCAATCTTGCCGTTGTCTTTGCGCCCACTATCATGCGCCCGGTCTCCATCGAACGAGAAATGAGTGACATGCAACTTCAGCGCATTGCAGTTCAGTCCATTCTCGAAATGAACCAGGTCATTTTTGGATATGATATGTGATGTGCTTGTGACGGTAACCGCTTTCCAACTCTCACCGTGGGACAGGATTAGAAAGTCCAGACATCTGAAGATTCCCAAAAAAAATTCAGTTTACATCTTTGCGCGTTTGATATTCCCCAGCATGTACTTTGGTTTTGCTTTTCATGGACGGGTCAGTTTGCGGGCGTGAAGTCCGTAATTGTATAATTTTTCGTTCTCATTAGAACCTTCACAGGGCCTCTTTAAATACTCATTCTCACATGAATCACGCTGGGAACATCGAGTGAATATTTAGTTTTTGTATACCAAATTTGTTTCGGTCGGCGGAAAGCGATATGGGCTAGGTTGAAGCAACAGCCCCTTTGCTGGCGTTCGAGTCATTCAAGTCTTCCACAACATAGCACGCGAGCAGAGCAAATGGCGTCCGGGTAGGATACCTTTCATTTTCATTCTTCAGGGTCCAGCGGACTCTTATGTGTAACTTGAATAAGTTCAAACCATCAACCTCTTTAACGTTGAAGTTATCTTTCTTGACTGAAGTTTTACAAGTTCGGTTTTTTTCTTTTATCGGGTTCACACCTCTGGGGATAAGCAATACATTCAGATAGAGGTATCGGTTGATGTCCATGCCCAAAATCCCATTGTCGGCCCATCGTGTGAAGCCACGCCTGCAGGGTGTGCACCATAGACACCAAGAAGCTACTCCACGAGTCTTCTGTATCATCTTTGGTGTGGCACGAAGACATGACTGCAGGATGAGTAGATGATGAGCTTTCGTTTGACTACAAGCAGTCCCATCAAGTTGTAAAGGCTGCCGTCTTGATGTGATGACAACCATCAAACTTGCCTGGCTGAGTTGAACCTCCGGCTCAGGCCATATATGGCGCTAGAGAACGTTGGTTCTTGCGTTGGATATCAGTACTAGAATACATGGATCTGCCAATCATAGCGACCCAACAATCTCCAGTCTTTACGCCTTCCTGCCCATGCAACAACAGCACAATCATCAGTGCCGGTATCCATGTTGATGTCCCTTTAGCCGAACATTACTGCACGCCGATGATTTGCCGTAGCAATTCCTTCTCGAACTATATCATTATCCAAAACTCCTCAAAGTGCCTTGTCACATGCGATCCAAATCTGCTCCACTCCCAAATTTCAGTCCAACATCTCTTGCTGCCAAACTTCATGTCGCTGTTGCTGATGTTGCAGGAGTGCCGCGACTTTCAGGTCGGAGTGTTCCAGACAGGTTACCGGCACCAATGCTCTTAACCTCTCCATTACTTGCAATTGTGAGACTCTTAACAACATTGGGTTTCCTAAATGATCGAACAGTAGCGATTGCATCGTTCCCCTCGGAGGAAAGATTCAAGTTCAATGAAAGTAGGTTTACGGCGTCTGAAGGCGCATCGTCCACGGGCAGAGACGAAAGGCTATCAGCAGTAGTGTGTTGCACCGCACCGACAGTACTGACCGCGGCGAGTGCAGCATTGTACATACCGGTATTCGCTGTTGCCGGGTGGTACGTGCGGAAAGGTGAGGAGACGGCTGACGTAGGCCAGGCGTAGCTGTAGGAGCTGTTGTGAGAAAACATATTAGCACGACTGTTCAGCAATGGCTTGCATAAGTCAGCAAGCACTGGCAGAAATCGAAAACGAAGGGCAAGTAACGACAGAACAGAAACATAGCGAAAGCGTATAAGACGTCTTTTCATGCACAAATGAACTTCATTTTCGAGAGGCAGGCCATTGAAACACATCGACTAAAATTGAGAACATTGCCAAAAAAAAAAGGAGGGGTTGAAATATGCTCAAAAGTTTCGCATTGAACTCTAAACGCAAACCCTAGAGCGAGAGCCAAGCTCATGCGAACTCAGTCGATAGACCAAGCAAACATGGCAGGTCTCGCGAATTTGCACCCGGGCAAGATTTTGGTACAACAGTATGACTTTGATCATACCTTGTCCATATTGTGCTTAGCAAATCCTTTCGACCTAAATGAAAACGTCGTTTGTTCTTGGTGATTGAACCATCATCGTGCAGCTCCGGAAAGGTGAGGCCTTGCGGTCAACCCAGAATATTGTTGGTACAAAACTGTGCATGAAGAGAAAAAGTTGTTTTCTCTAAGCCGCCCGATGTTGCCGAAAAGCATTCGCGTAAGAATGACAATGTACGGATGGGGTATGGTGATTGATGGTGCGGAAACGCGAGCAAGTGAAAGAAAGTGTAAGGAAAAGCAAATGTGTTGCTGCAGTGTGAGACTTTTTCGGCTTGGCCGTATCAAGACAAACTCCAACGGAAGATTCGTGATAATGCGCATCATCATGAGCAGACATTACTGAAGAAGTCGTGATCGCTGAAGTTGCTGCAAAGAAGCCAGTGATAGAACCTAGAAATGCTTACTTCTAAAGTGATCAGCACATGGATTGTGACCAGAAATGAAATCCTGTGGATCATACCTTCATTGGAGGAAAGCCGCCGTAATGTGCAGGAGGCATACCCATATTCGGATAGACTGGCGGCGGAGGAGCCGGCCGATATGGAGTACCGGCTGGACCGGAGTTATTCTGGCTACGTCCCCAAGACAGACGAACTCGTGAGTTGCCGATTGGGTAGCCTTGCATCTGATTGATGGCCATCTCAGCGGCATGGCGCTGCACGAACTGGACGAAACCACAGCCCTTCCCAGGAGGGATCTTGACATAAGTGATTTCACCAAAGCCCTGGAAGAAAGAACGCAGTTCGTCCTCGGTCACATAACCTGACAGGCCACCGACGAAGACTGTAGTATTGTTTGGGTCTGTGAACTGGTTCATTGGCATTCCGCCTTGCCCGGCAGCGGATCCGTAGAAACCAAGAGGGGGAGCGCCGCCCATCCCGTAGCCCATGCCCATGTTCATGCCAGGAGGGTGCATGCCCATTGGACCTCCCGGTCCTGCGCCACCGCTCTTATTCTTTGGCGTGGCTGTAGAAATGCGCATTGGTCGGTTGCCACAGTAGACGCCTTGCATCTCGGTCAGAGCGCGCTGCTGTTCGCTCTCATCGGTGAATCGAACGAAGCCGTAGCCGCGAGACATGCCGCTAATAGGATCGGACATGATCTTGGCGGACTTGCAGGACGGAAATTTATTTTGGAAAAGCGAATGCAGAACGTACTCGTTGACTTCGGGTCCCAAATCGCCCACGAAAATGGAGTATTCTGGACCTCGCTCATCGCGGCTAAGAAAAGATTAGTCATCGGTTGAACCACAACCTCGCTGTTCGCAACTCACTTGCGATCCGCAAGACCTCCGCCAGATGCCCAATTGAGTTTAAAGGGACGGCTCGAGTTTGGAATCTGCTGCCCATTGAGAGCCAGTGCTTTAGAAGCAGCCTCAGGAGTTTGGAAGTCAACGAAACAGTAGCCGGCATTTGAACTGGATGATGGTTAGTTTGCACGGGTATTGCCTTTAACAGGTCTCTCAACTGACCCAGTGAATTTGTCTCGGATCATCTTGACATTCACTTGTTCTCCCATGCCATACCACAAGCTTCGGATGAAATTCTCGTCAATCCAAGGCTCCAGTTCGCCCATCCTGCGCAAATATTAGTCATAATGCTCTTTGTTGAAGCTGTAGTGCATATAACAAACCAAAGTGTAGTCTTTCCCTCTGGATTGGTGGGGGTACCTGTGCCAGCAGCGGGCGTTGGAACTGCACCAGCTGTGAACTGAGCCTGTCCATCACCGAGGCCTGGAGCACCTGGGACAGGGACGCCAGGTGCGCTGCCATCTGCTGGCTGCTCACCGCCGTAGAGGGGAGCGTTGCCTTGAGGGAAGCTCATTTCGATAAAGGGCGCAAATGAAGGTGTACAGTGCACGTGCTGAAAGAGTTGCGCGTTCTGATGCCGACGCGGAGGAGATCCGATCGAGAGCGCAAAAGGTTATATAGGTGGATAGCTAGTGACTGCAAGTCAGCCGTGCGTGCATACATGTTGAGAGCGGAGGTGTGGCCCACACGAGTAGTAACTCTGAAAGCTATGAGAGACCGAAGAGAAGGACTGGAGTTTGGGACGGACCGTAAATCTCAAAGGAATACTATATAATAGCTGGTCCCAGGGAAAACGGCAAAGAAACTCCAGTACGCGCAGTAGCAATGAAGCCCTCGAAGAGAATGCGGCCGTGTCGTCGTTGGTGTAAGTGGATGTTTGACAGTAGCAGAAACACTCAGTCGCGAAACCTAAAGTTATACAACCACGTTAGCCCGTTGCGCTATCCCATCACTTGTCGCACCGTCACTGGTCACTCCAGTGCAACCGGGCAGGCGCCGGATCCATCAAGCGCGATGGCAGCGGCGACAGCCACGGTTTGCGAGACGCAGTAGACGGGGGTTAAGAAGACCAAATCTGATGGTGGCCGGAGGGCGCGGGGAGAAGAGCTGGGTCTCACGGCGAAGAAGAGGCGAAGGGACTTGAGGCATCTTGCAGAATCTCTTGATCATCGATGGAAGAGTGGGTGAGACGGGAGCTTTGACGCATAAGGCGAGCGCGCCCGTGAGGCGGCTCTCCTGGCGCAAGACGAGGTGGGGAGACGTGAACTGCCGGCTCGGGTGTGGGCGACGGCGGCGGCGACGATGCAATGCGCGCTGGGAAGCGCTGCGGTGCGGACTGGATGTTTGGCTGTGGGCACTTACCTGATGACGAAGTCGACAAAATTGCCGGCGCCCAAGTGTTCAATGCAAGACGGAAGGGAAGGAAACCACGCTGAAGGAGGACTTGGGGGGGGAGGACTGTGATGAGAATGATGGGGATGAGGACGATGCGAAAAGCAACGAAACCGCTTGAAGCAAAGGAGGAAAGGCAGAGAGGAGAAGAGAGAGAAAGAGGAAAGAGAGCGCGAGAGCGGCGGAGACAGAGTCGAGTGTGGGACGGGCTACAAATCGGTACGTTAGTGTAGAGTTTGTGCTTTGGTCCGGGTCGTAGGGGCCTCTCAGTTCCAGTGCGCGGTGCACCTGTGCCCAGCAGTGCCGGGAGCCCAGAGCCCAGTGCCCGGCAGCGCCCACAGCCCGCCGCCCGCCGCCCGCAGCCCACTGAGATTGCGCGACAAAGCGGCTCGCACGTGACGCCCGCCGCGCGCGCTTTTCGGCCTTCATTTCCATGCGACGCCTGAGCGCATCGTCGCCAGCGATCAGCGCATCCCGACCGGTCCCAAGCTTTCACCATTCAGGCGAAGCCCTGCGGCTTTATCCATGGCCATGTTGAGAAGGTTTATCTCGACCCGTCCGTCCATGCCGCCTGACGACACCACCAACACCAACAAGAACAGCACCAGCCGGAGCGCGAACGAGAAAGAGGATAAGCGACTGCTAGAGCCAGGCCAGCCGAATGCACAGCGTGCGCACGATCAGCCTCAATCTACCATACATACAGTAGTACGACGCGAGTGGGCCGCCCACCTGCTGCGGCACCTAGCCAGTTGCCTTCTCCCATCATTACGTGCACGCGCTGCTCATCTTTCTGGCTGTCCGTCGCACACAAAACTCTGTTCCGTACTGCTTCCCAAATCTTACCTTTCCGCTCTTCCGCCCTCTTTGCACTCTCTTCTTCACCATGTACTTTTATCATCGTGGCGCACAGCGAGCCCAGCATGACGCCATCTTATTCTTATAAATAGCCTCCTCCTATCTCGGCTCTCATGCTCCACTCTTCATTACGAAAACTGCTACGACTCCCAGATCTCCTCGTGCATCGGCAACGGCGACCACGAGGCTGCCCAAACATCCCTGGAGCGCATCCCCTCTCTGTGCTCTTTTTTGGTTCCGTTTCGTCATCATTCGCCTTGCACTAGTTTTGTTGCGCATCATCTTTGCCGCCATTCTGACACATCTCCTCCCATCATACTTCCTTCACCCACCTGCACTCCCATTCCGCACATACCAAACATTAACACACAGCTCGGATTTTTCCCACCTCCTGGAGAGAACCCCGCTGCTGCCAGCTTCCGGCTCTTCTCATTTGTCCCTCATCATAAGAGGAGGCGGGGGGACCCGTCTTTCAGTCCCGAAAGTTTCCTTTAGCTCAGGGTCCATTTTTGAGCAGCCAGCCTGCCACAAAAAAAATTAAAAATAAAAAAATTAAATTAAAAAAAAAATTGTGTGTGTCCACACTGCGGACTTTTCTCGGTATCTGTGTCATGCAGTGCCTGGCGAGAGGCCTCTAGTCGTGCTCATTTTTACGCTGTTTCGTGCGTAGGCTTATGGTTGTAGGGCAAATCGTATCTCCATGACATGCTTATCTCCCTTGTCTTGCGCTTTAACTCATCCATGAAATTCTCACCGTGACCCACAAGATACCTCAAAAAGCATGCTAAAAGAGAGACAAACAACGAGTGAAGCCACGGACAAGTCAACCACAACAGAACGAATAAAAATGATTCATTGATCTTTTCGTGATTGCTTTTTCCCCTGATGCACAGTCACAACTAACCCGTGCCGTTATTTGATCCAACGCATTCTTGAACTTGCGTACTAACACAGTATTACCACAATCTACGTTGGCTATTCGTTCAAGCACCGATTTCCTTCGCTTCGCGGCCCTCTTGGAAAACCTTGTCGAAGTCAAATTCGTCCCACCTAATGTCCGGGTTGAGGCCCGCAAACTTCCATACGCCGTCGATCTTCTTGTACCAATGTTGATTGGTGCTGTGGGCGTACCCGCGAACTTCGATTTCTTTGCTGTCTTCGCTCTTGTACTTCTGGTGGGGAACCCACAGCTGATGCCAGCCAATGATCTCTGAGTCAGACACCTTCTCATATCGCGAGCCGCCGCAGAAGTGTTGCGTCTTGAGCAATGGGTTGCCGAGCACAGTTTTGTCAGATGCCATCTTGACGTACTCATCGGCAGGCATAGCCTCCCAGATCTTATTAAGGAAGGAGCGGTAATCAATCTGGGCATATCACTTCGTCAGTTCGCTGTCCTGGCAAGCTGGGCCTGCCCGCGGGGCGCAGAGGAGCTTACTCTCAGTGTTGGTGCAACAATACGTCGCAGACGCTCCCAATCTTTCGTATCATACGCATCGGCCCACTCGAAATAGGCAGTCGAGACGCCCATGAAGTCTGTTCGTTTTCAGTAGATAAATCAATGGACGTGCGCCAAGTACTGCTCCGTACCTTCAAATGTAATGTCACCGTGCTTAGGAATGTCAGCCATGATGATGTTGTCACCGTCTCCTTTTTTTCCTGGATATAACCACCTTGGGATGGTAGAACAAAGGTGAAATTTTAGGAAATGTGATCGTGAGCGCTTATGCATCTCCTTATATACACAGGCATACACCCTCACTGGCTACGGATGCAGCGCCGAGTGGACAACCGGGTCCCCTCCCAACCCCCGCCACCTGGGATTGCCTCCCACCACAGCTTTGCTGCGAATTACCCATCACTCTTATCCAGCCTGTGAAATAACACAGTTCTGTTCATATCCTCTCACTCTTGAACCCATACTATAGTTTCGATTTGCTCGCAAAGTTTAACAAATGTAAAATGCACTACAATAGCCAGTCAAAAGCTAACCGTAGTGTTCCTTCGATGCTACCGTATGCAGGTACATCTCAGGGTCAAAGACCTCCCCCACTCCCATATCAACGTACTAAAAATAGACTGGCTAAGCCTTGCATTTTGACAGTCCATGCGCACCTGGCTGCTGGCTAAGAAAAATGGTTATGTTTACTTTTGAAGGTGTGGGCATAGAGATGCGACATCGAACGATCTTTCCATTGTGTATTCATATTCACCCCTTCAACAAGCAAAAAAAAAGCAAAAAAAATATTGAGGACTCATGGAGTTGTGGTCATGGACAGCTACCGTAATTTCACAGAATCTGTCGAGGCAAAACCTTACCAACCTGCCAATCCGTTGTTCCATGAGAAGCGTTGGAATGGTTACCTGTAGTTGTCTTTAGGTTTGTGCCTGATTTGAGAACTTTCGTTAGCATTGAAAGGATTAACATATTATATCGCACATGCTTCGCTACCTTGTTTTCTGTTATTTGGATTAATTGAGGAGATTATGTCTTCCCACTGATGCACCATCGCCGCTTTCATCCAAGTTTCCAAACGTGATAAAATTTCCAAACAGACTTTGATCGTTCATCTGCGTTCCTGACTCTTCTACAATGCCTTGAAACGCTTCCTCCCTTGTCACAGCTGGTAAATACACATTCATCAGCGCTTTCCTGCTTTGAAAAATCTCTTGTGCTACGCCTCGAACCTGGCTAAGAACCGTTCGTGCTATAGGCCAGATCTCACCTTGTCGCTTTAGCACTCCGATGTTGAGCTTGATATGCTCTTTGATGGCAGAATCATCATCGGGAGTAAGAATGAATGACCAATATGAGAGAAAAACAACCGAGGCCATAACTACGGCACAAGAGAAAAATGGTGTGTGTTTAAGCAAAGGACAGGGGAGTGTTATCAACGCTGAGATATCATGTGCTGCTTTGAGCGCTTTGGCAGTGTGTAGTTCCTGCCCTGCCGACGGTATTGGTGTTTGGTGTGCGGCAATACATGTAGTGACATCTCTCGCATCATCAGAATTTAAATCTGAACGAGGTCGATGGAGAATGATGGTGCATCTGCGACGATCAATTAGTCATGGACACGCAAAGGATGTGGCGAACTCGTCACGACTCACGAATAAGCAATCATGAACGCCTCGAACAAAATCTCATCAACTTTGCCCATCTTGTCTATTGCCGATCTCTTGTTCGGTGGTAAGTGGAGCCACCAATTCGCGAGATGCACATCTGCTTGTGCGACAAGCTGGGCGTCTATGGTTGCATTCTCAGCCTGCATCCTTTGCAGAGCACAAACCTTGTGCAAAAGCCGCACAGCATCAATTCTGTATGTTGCAGACGAAAACGCTGTAGACTCATCTTCAAAGGCAGAACAATCGTAATCCTCGAGTGTCTTGTACACAGGCGGTATTTGCTGTAGGTAGCGTGAGTACATGCAAGGTCTGGGAATCGAAGTAGATTACTTACCCCGGAAAGAAATTCGTCCTCTTCGCAAGGTAGAAAGACCTCCTGCCTAATTCCGTGTAGAGTAAGCTGATAGTGCATGGGGTTTACTCCGGTAAAAAAGCCGTCACAGACAAAGACCTCCCACCAGGTCCTCCGCCAACACTCTTCTAATAGTGGTTGACCTTGGCCAAAATGGACGGCATACTCGTTCCTGTTCATTCCGAGATCGCAAGCCAGCTTAGCCACGGCTCTCATGACTTCTGCAGACTCTTGCTCAAAGCCTGACATGTGGAGCCCAATCGCGAATAATAGGAGGGTTTGCACCTTTGTGCCGTCCATTGGAAGAGCATCCTGCGCTACGAGCTGCTGAATCGCATTTTGGTAATCCCCACTCCTAGCCGAAGGGATATATAGCGATCCGATATACTTCATAGCCAATTCAAGATGAGAGGTTTGCCATCCGTCAAAGAGGTTTAAGCAATGATTGGGTGGTAGAAAAGGATGGGTTGGGTGAAAGTATGTATAAAAAGCATTCATCAGACCAGTTTCAGAAGCATCGTTAAATGATGGAGGGGTCAATGGGCCAGCTGGTACAAGTTGTCTGGGCGGAGTCTGAACATCAAAACCAAGTCTCATGGCATCGTCAGGCGACGAACGCACGGGTGATGTGGTAGATGACAGCTCTTGCACGGTCGCTGCTGCATCTGTCTTTGCGAGAGGCAGCTCAGTTTGCTGAACGTTGGTTCTAGCACCTTGTGCTTGTATTCCTATTCAAACAAACAACCGAGTAAGCAGCTTGAGCTGGATCCTTACATAGGAATTGTGCCGTTTCACAGGAGGTGTAGCAAGCGACAGTCGATATCTCGTTCTTGGCTTGCACTTTCGGATATGACGAGTTCAATTTTACAAAACTGATACGTACCGAACGTATTCTGACCGACGCTTTGAGGTATCGAGGCCTTCGCTGTTCGTCGCGGCCCTTTCCAGCCTCTTCTCGATTTGAGATAGACACAACTCAGATTCTCGCTCACGCAACGAGCACATCGCACAGCCCCGTCGCATTTCAAATGCCGACTACGGCACGATACGCATGCCACTGCTATGGAAGACCGCGTCACCGTGGTAGATGTGATTTCGCTTCGATGCTGACTATTTGAGCTGCTGGGATGTTCAGGCTCTGTATTGCCAGAACCCAAATCGACAGCGCATTTCGGGTCGGATCCGAGCATGTTTACGACTGGTTGACTTCATGGATTATTATTTTGAGTGCATGTCACGGAAATGTTCATTGATGTATGTTCGCGAGATGGCGTCCCAACGACAGATTCGTTTTGGCCACTCCGCAGCGATCTTTTAACCCTGCTAGGGAAGTCAGGCCCTGAGTTTCGAGAAGCAAGCTTAACATCACGTGCCATTGGATATCTCAATAAGTTGAGTCTTGCAACCTCAGCTCCGGCGGTATAAAATTCGGATATCCCATCCTGAGCGATGAGTATTTCACAATGTATCATGCTATTTCAGACCAGGTGCAAATCATAAAAATTACGTTACGTATACAACAGTGCTTGTGCGAGGAACATTTGAGACAGCCTTTCGCTTTCTTAATCCCGGCATGCAACGATCCCGCCTATTTACGGCTTGTCCATTCTTACCTCCATGCTTAATTTTTCAGTGGTTTTTAAAACGATTCATCAACTACTCTGCCTATATGTCCTGATTTCCGTTCTTAAACATAGGTGACTGTGCCCGTTCTTACCTGGCACTGTAGGTTTGTCAAAAGAAGGAACCATCTCACCGACATAATGGATGCTAGATACGAATGAACAGAAATAAGCAGCCAAGCTACTTGCATATTTCGACATTAGATGTTAGTAGTCTGAACAATCTTACTCTGCAAATCGAAGATAGAGCAAAAATACATGATACATGATCGGGTTCCATTTGTCCACATTATATAGAGATGTCCTTGAGGCATAAATGGCGTCGTCGCGTTCCAAATAGAAGATTTGTCCGTCTGAACCCACCGTTAAGTTACACAGGTACTTTCCAGATTGCATGGATTGTCATGTTTAAGGCTGACAGTGTCTGTATCAGCTTATATAGATATGTGTAGCTATCTGCTGGCTTACTATTCGATTAACAATCTTTGCAGTCTGCGGTAGACAGCTGTATCGCTTAAGGTACACTCAGGCCTCTCATCCGTTGCGACCGATCCCCAATCTCTTGCTCATCCTGCCAGCCCTTGATCTAGCATCACCCATCAGGCTGGTATCCACCTCCATCTCATCGCCGTCGTCGTCTTTTAGATCCAATGCACCACGTTTGGGTCGACTCTTTTCAGATTCCTCAGCCTGAGCAATCTTCTCGTCCACCAGCATCTGCACACGTGCATTTTGTTCCCCTCTTCTCTGTGCGTTATGCTTGATTGTGTTGACCTCGCCTTCCAACTGTGCAAGCATGTATGTGCATTGTTCGGACCACTGTGCTAGAGCTGCTGCTAGTGCAGGAATGCTACCAGGTGCCAGATCACGTAGAGGGGCAACCGAAGTAATGTTGACGACTTGATGAGCGGGATCGAGAGTGCCGATCACGATATTGGAGTAGATTGCGGTGGTGATGAGAGATTCAAGTGCCTGGGGCGAGTCCAGGGATAACGCAGATTGAAGTGACGAGTAAGTAAGGCTGGCTTGTCGACTAGCAAGTGGGAGGAGAGATAGTAAACGTAGTTTCTGCGCTTGTTGCGGCGAAAGCTGTGGCAGACCATTCGCGTCTATTGCTGCTCAGTATCCGTCATGTTTGTCCAAAAACGAGAGCACTCGAGGTTACTGACCCTTGTAATCTGTCCATGTACCCCAAGCAAAGATCTCAAGCAGCTTGTAGTGCGGTGAATACTCATCAGACCCTCTTAGAGCGTGGATATTAGGCATATGTAGCAACTCAGCAAAGACAAAGGTGTTCGGGTCCGAGGTAACTCTTAATACCAAGTCAGCGGCCGCGCGTGGGGATTTAGCATCTTTAGACAGCAAAATGTATGACTCCAGCGCATTAATCGCACGTTGTTGTTCCATGCTGATCACACATATGAATAATCCGTATTGGTAGGTGTACAAAGTTGAGCTGCGAAAGGAAAATGAACGCAGACTGGAGTTGGGCAAGCTATCGGCAGACAAACCGTTGACGGAGCAAGGAGTGTGTGAAAAAAATCTTAACGGTGATGAAGTGTAGTGGTTGCGTTTGCGGTCACATTAGCTCAAACAGTAGGCATCACGGACGATACATGTACGGGAGGGGATATGTGGCGAACCGATGCTGCTTGCCAAAGTACAAGCTGATACCACCAAGGCAGCCAGTACAGACGTCAAGTTCGCAGCTGTCTATCGATGGACAGCGTAGACTTTCTTGCCATTTGAGTTCACTATACGCACAAATCACGGCCATTCGTTGTGCCGGCAAACAAAGAACGCTTCAACGTTCATGCTTTTGGCTAAGAAACGTGAGATCACACTTGGATCTGCTTTAGATCAGGATTGCATTTCCTTCCCCTCCCCTTCCTCTTTTTCTTTCTAGAGACTCATAGCTCTTGCGTGTCGTAAAAGATGTAGGCTCTCGATCTTTTTGCGATCCAGTAGATGGATGATCAGAGGCTTTGTTTTCTTAATCTACGTTTATAACGCTGATGCAAGAGACTCCTTAAGGCATCCCTGCAACGGTTGCTTCTGATTTCATCTCCGGATGCCGGTCTTAACCCGCAAAGCGTGTTTGTGGCCATAGCATTGCAAGCTAAACACGAATGGCAGCCCACGTCTGAGCTGAAAGAATACAGGATAGAGAGCCCACGGCGCACACGTTGCGAGCAAATAAATTCAATTATTTCCAGCATCTGATCCCAGAGAAACAAGTGTGAAATGGGGTGCTGGCGAGGGGAGCTTGTAATGGCAACGGTGGTCGTCAAGACACGAGACTTGCGGAGTTTTGGATGTCAAACAGGAGGGTTCTGCTTCCGAGCAGCCTCGAGTACAAAGCCAAGTCAGCACCCGGCTGCCAAGCGTCGGACATGGTCTTTCTTTGCCTCTGCTTCGCTGTTAGATTTCGATCGAGTTGATTCGAGTTGTTTGCGTGTCCTCTAGTGTTTGTGCTCCTGCTTGCAAAGTATATTGAGCAAAGTCTTCGCAGACAAATCTAAGAATAGACGGGCGTGGAGTGCACCGCGCTCGCCAAAGGCCACCAAACCGAATCAGAAGGTTTGCCACATAATAGTACGATTGAGTCGCAGTGCTTCCCTTCGCTAACGCCCTTTCCAGCACCCCGGTCGGTTGCGCGTTTGATCAAGAGAACAATCCGACTCTCAACGCTATACTACACGCCGTCGAGACTGCAACTCGTACTGCATATTGCTTCATTATCCTTTGTCTCCGACCGACATATTGTATTCATAATCTGCCCGCACTATTCGTTTTGGCTGCGAATAAGCAGCTCACCTGGAGAAAGAGCTGATTACCTCTCCTCCCTCCCACCCCGGTTATTCCGGAATCAACTTTCGGAGAGAATGACAGCCCAAATCTCGCATAATCCTGTACCTGCTGGCGGGTTACACCCTTCGAATCTCTCGAGACTGCAGAGATCTACACGTAAAATGCACATGGCAACGACGACATTGAAGGTCGAAGGCATGACCTGTAGTGCCTGCACGTCCGCAGTTGAAGCAGCCTTCAGGAACGTTGATGGTGTGTACGACGTGTCCGTCAGCTTGGTCATGGAGCGCGCGGTCGTGCGACATGACCCATTAAAGATTTCAGCAGCCCAGATTAAGGACATGATAGAAGATCGCGGTTTCGACGCTGAGATCCTCTCCTCCGACACACCGCAGTCTATGTCTGGTGAATCCCGCATCGACTTGCTGGACTCCGATGAGGAAGATACAGATGAGCTCCAGCTGAGTACAACGACTATATCAGTGGGAGGAATGACATGTGGTGCCTGTACATCAGCTGTCGAAGGCGCGTTCAAAAATGTGAACGGCATCAAATCATTCAGCATCTCCTTGCTTTCCGAACGCGCTGTCGTACAACACGAACCCAATCTCATCAACCCTCAACGCCTACTTGCCATCATAGAAGAGACTGGGTTCGACGCCAAGCTTGTTGATTCAGTCACTTCAGGTCACTACACGAAGCACAAAAGAAGTCGCAGGAGCAAGGGCGTACAAAAACATGACACCTTGACCACAACCGTGGCAATTGAGGGTATGACGTGCGGAGCCTGCACATCCGCTGTGGAGGCAGGCTTCAGAGACTTGGACGGTGTGCTCCAATTCAGCATAAGCTTGCTAGCCGAGCGCGCAGTCATTGTTCACGATCCTGTCAAACTCAGTGCTACTCGACTTACTGAGATTATTGACGAATGTGGCTTCGATGCGCGAGTAGTCTCGTCTGTGGAAGGGAATTCACAGTCAACGTCGTCTACGAATACAGTTCATCTAAAGGTTTACGGTGTCCCTGGTGCAGATGAAGCGAATGCTCTTGCAGATTCTCTGAGAAGCCATCCGGGCATTGAAGAAGCGAGAATTGAGGTTGGAACGGGTCGGGCTATTATTACACATCACCAAGCTACATGTGGACTCCGTGCAATAGTTGGATATATCGAACAGGCCGGATACAATGCACTAGTGGCAGAAGCTGACGACAACAATGCTCAGCTGGAATCACTTGCAAAGACGAAAGAGATTCAAGAATGGCGCCGCGCCTTTCGCACTTCTCTTATGTTCGCGATACCTGTTTTTCTCACGAGCATGATATTTCCTATGTTTCTTCCTTTTCTTGATTTCGGCAGCATCCCAATATTGCCGGGCATCTGGCTTGGCGATCTAGTCTGCTTGGTTCTTACGATACCCGTACAGTTTGGCATTGGCAGGCGTTTCTATCTCTCTGCATTCAAATCTGTTAAGCATGGCTCCCCTACAATGGATGTTTTGGTTGTATTAGGTACATCTGCAGCGTTCTTTTTTAGCGTGGCCGCGATGGTTGTGTCGTTCTTCACACCACCTCACTCACGGCCTAGCACCGTATTCGACACCAGCTCTATGTTGATCACATTCATTACCCTCGGACGTTATCTTGAGAATCGAGCGAAGGGACAGACGTCGAAGGCTCTTTCAAGATTAATGTCTCTTGCCCCATCAATGGCTACGATCTACCGAGACCCCATTGCTGCGGCAAAAGCTGCAGAAGTCTGGGATAATGTTGATCAAAAACCAGTGGAGCGAAGAACGAGCATCGGGCACGCGGCAAGCGAGGAGATCATCATTCCTACCGAGTTGATCGAGGTCGGTGACATAGTTATTCTTCGTCCTGGAGACAAAATTCCAGCAGACGGCACCGTCTTACGAGGCGAGAGCTATGTTAATGAGAGCATGGTCACTGGTGAAGCAATGCCTATCTTCAAGAAGAAGAATGCACCTGTCATGGCTGGGACGGTGAACGGAGAGGGTAGGCTGGACATAATGGTCACGAGAGCAGGACGTGACACTCAGCTCAGCCAGATTGTCCACTTGGTTCAAGAGGCCCAAACAAGTCGTGCTCCGATTCAGCGCGTTGCTGATATGGTCGCCGGCTACTTTGTCACTGTCATCATCACTCTCGGGCTTGCAACCTTCGTTTCGTGGATGATCTTGAGCCACGTCCTCATTAGTCCCCCGTCTATTTTTCTTGCTGCCGAAAGCGGTGGAAGGCTCATGGTCTGCGTCAAGCTATGCATTTCGGTAATTGTATTTGCTTGCCCATGTGCCCTGGGTTTATCCACACCCACGGCTGTGATGGTCGGCACTGGCGTTGGTGCTGAGAAGGGCATTCTCATCAAAGGTGGTGAAACATTAGAGAGAGCAACCAAGGTCACACATGTCGTCTTTGACAAAACTGGTACCCTGACTGCAGGCAAAATGAGCGTTTCCAACTTTCAAATATCTGCCAAGTGGGACTCCGATGACAAGACGCGTCGTCTTTGGTGGACTTTAGTAGGTCTTGCCGAAATGAGCAGCGAGCATCCTATTGCTAAAGCGATAGTACTGCATGCGAAGACTAATCTTGGGCTGGACTCAGAAAGCGCTCTGGACGGCAGCGTTAGAGATTTTGAAGCCAAAGTCGGTAAGGGCATTGTGGCAAAGGTTGAGGCTGCAATCAGTTCAAACAGCCAAAGTCACGACGTGCTCGCCGGTAATTTGAAGCTCCTCCACGATCACGACATAGCGATTCCAGAAGACGCAGACACGGAGTCTCGAAGCTCGTCGACTGGCATGGACGGAGTTCAAGCCTCGAAATCAGCATCCGCAGGAGAGACTGTAGTACATCTCGCCATCGACAGGGTGTACTGTGGTCGTATAGCACTCTCTGACACGATCAAGCCATCTGCAAAATCAACAATTCTGGCTCTTCGGCGCCTTGGCATCACTTCAAGCATTGTCACAGGCGACTCGCGTACTCCAGCTCTTGTAGTCGCAAGACAGGTCGGAATTTCAGCAAAAAATGTTCACGCGAGCTGTGCGCCAGGCGACAAGCAAACTTTCATAGAAGACCTTCAGCTGCCCAAACCAGAGGGTGGACCCGGCGAAATCGTCGCAATGGTTGGAGATGGAATCAACGACTCTCCTGCTCTTGCCACCGCCAGCATTGGTATCGCGCTAAGCAGCGGTACTGACGTGGCTATGGAAGCGGCTAGCATCGTTCTCATGAATGCCGGGGACCTCCTTTCGGTTCCAGCAAGTCTCCACCTAAGTCAAAGCATCTTTCGCCGAATCAAGTTGAACTTGCTATGGGCGTGTGGCTACAATGTCGTGGGTCTACCCTTTGCTATGGGCTTCTTCCTTCCTTGGGGTCTACATTTACATCCTATGGCTGCAGGTGCGGCAATGGCCTGCTCTAGCGTTTCCGTGGTTGCGTCAAGCTTGGCTCTTCGATGGTGGAGTAGACCCCGATGGATGTCCATCAAAGTTTTAGATCCTACCAATGAAGCTGCCAATGGGGAGCTGGATACTCCCCCCGAAAGTTTGATTAGCAGCATCTCTAGCTTCATCAAAGATGGCATGTACGGGGCAAAATCACTGCTGATACGTAAGAAAGGAGACGAAGCGGCGTACGTACCGTTAAGAGACATGGGAGAAGTTTAAATCATTGTGCTTTTGTATATACAACATTCGAATAACATGTGCGAAGTCACTTCCTCTCTGATTGTTCAAACGCCTTGTGAAGGCATCAAAATGCATCTAGCATACTGCTCATAAGTGCTTTTTATCGTTGAGTATGCAGACGATTGTTGGAGCCAAAGCAAAGAGGTAGGAGTTCGATCCACATATGATGCCAAGCCTTAATCTTGGACCCTGTAAATCTGCCACAAATTTTTTTTTCTTACGCGACGTCTTCAGCAGCCATCAGACGAACAATCCCCGCAACGCGCAAGACGATGTCCTCGATACGCAATGCAGTACACCGCCGCAATCACAAAGAGCGTTCCCAGCCTCACGGGCGTGAGAAATGGGGTCTCCTTGAGAAGCACAAGGACTACGCTCTTCGTGCAAAGGACCACAAGGAAAAGCAGAAGCGCTTGAAGATCTTGAAAGAGAAAGCAGCATTAGCGAACCCGGATGAGTTCAGCTTCAGAATGATTTCGACCAGAACAATAAATGGGCAAAGAATTGCGGATCGAGGAAACAAAGCTCTAAGCACGGATGTTGTCCGAATTTTGAAGACACAAGATGTGGGTTATGTTAGGGTTATGCTACAGAAGACAAGGAGGGAAAGAGAGAAGCTGGAATCCGAGATCCAAATCTCCACAGAGGGAAGAATAGTGCCGCTGAAAACTGGCACTGAGAACGGGGCAGATGAGTTGGAAGATGAGGATGAAGATGCAGAGAGAAGAGCCAAAAAAGTTGTGTTTGTCAACTCCGTAGACGAACAAAACGAAATATTGAACTTCGATGATGAAGAAAAAGACAAAGAAACTTCGCTTGTCTCGAAGAGGCTATCAAGAAGTGAATTGGAAAAAAAATGTCAGGCAGAAATAGCGGCGAGGCGAGCAACAAGGAAGCGAGCACAGCAACACGAAGTACGAAAAGCCCTTTTAGAGGCTGTTCGGAAGAAAGAAGAGAAACTTATGCTTGCTGAGCAGGAGCTTGTACTGCAGCGTGCAAAGATGAGCAATTTGGTTGGTGGTATCAACAAGCATGGTCTCAAATTCAGGATTCGGGAACGCAAGAGATGAATCCGGCAATGAACCCAGCACTGAACTCAGCAGTGAACCCAGCAGTCTTTGGCTGGAGCCAGAACACCATTAATACTAGGTTACATTTTGCTCGGCATACGCATGGCACCGTCCAGCCTTAACACCGTGCCGTTAAGCATTGAATTCTCGATGATGTGCATAACAAGACTCGAGAACTCCTCCGGCTTGCCAGCCCTTACTGGGAATTCCATTGTTCGCTCCAAACTCTTTCGCGCCCGCTCTGGCATTATTCGAGTCATTGCGCTATCAAACAAACTTGGTGCAATGGTTACGGCGCGAATACCGTGTCTTGCAAGATCTCGGGCGAGTGGCAGAGTGAGCGCCGCTATTGCACCCTTGGACGCGGAATAAGCTACTTGCCCGGGCTGCCCGTCAAAGGCTGCTGATGATGATATCATAATCAATACACCTCTTTCTCCATCTTCAGTCAAGGGCTCGTTCTTGACCATATGTGGTACGCAAAGGCGTACTAGATCCAGTGTTCCACGCAGGTTAACTTTAAGCACAAAGTCTATTTGTTCAATGGCTACAGGTTTCCCGGAACGCGCGTCGTATATCTGCGGGATTCTGTTAGAATGAGACGGGCGTGTAGTTGAGCGTACCATTTCAAACTAGAACAAGAACATATACACAAATATCGAGTGCGTACCTTCGCAGCAGCACCCACGCCTGCAGCAGCGATAAGCCCAGCTAACGGCTTCCCTGTATCCTTCACCCATGCCATAGTCCGGTCCATCGCTGCTTTTACACTTATCGTGTCGCTGACATCTGTTTCGAAAAATTTCACTCTTTCGCCTTTTAATTGTCTGACTACTTTCTCGCCGTTTTCTGCATTTAAATCAAGTAACGAGATGTACGCACCGGCACGGTGCAGATCCAGGGCACTGGCGAGTCCAAGTCCACTGCAGCCACCAGATACAACAAATGTGCGTGCTATAGGTTTCATCTTAGCATGTAGCAATTAAGAGTACGATGAGAGTAATGAGAAAAACTTGCTGCTATGCGTAAGTCATGACCTGACTTGATGAAGAGGTCTGCTTTCATACACTCAATGAGAATGGTCACAAGACGTTATCAAGTTGGACCTTGTGATGTTCCATTTTGTATCTAGCCGAGGCGGCTGCGAGTCACCATGTAGGAAGAAATTGACTGCGCACGGGCCACAACACCAAAACGGACATCAAAACAACGCGGTTGTTAGGAATACTTTCCCGATACCGACTAGCTTCACTAATGTAAGCCACTTCGGAAGGGTTCAGCTTCCTAGAGCAAGGGAACAATGTATAACCAGAGCTTATTAAGGAAGGAATATAATAAGATAGTTATGTTTATGGCTTAGAATAGTATGAGCTTCAGGAGTATGA